TGAAAAAAATTAAAATTGTTTCAAATTAATAATTTTATCATATTTCTTTTCATCGCATTTATTTTATGTTTTAAAATGGAAATTTTATTTGAAACCTGAATTTTTCATATTTTTTTTTCATGTATTTGAGAAATTAATATTTAGAAATTAATAAAAAAAAATTAATAATTAATAATAATGTAAGTTAATTAGATATTTTAAAAATGAAAGAAAAGAAAAAATAAAATAAATTGATAATAAATGATACGATAATTTGAAATTGAAAATTTAGTGATAAAATTTAGTGTTGAAAGAATTAAAATTGCTTCAAATTAGTAATTTTATCATATTTCTTTTCATCATCATTTGTAATTTTATTTTTTTAAAAAAAAAATAAAAATTTTATTTGAAACCTGAATTTTTCATATTTTATTTTATTTTTTTTTTTTTTTTGCATATATTTGAGAAATTAATATATTTTTTTTCTTATAAATTATAATTGATTTTTTTTTAAAAAAATAAATAAATGATTTATTTATTTATCAGCGTTTTTCGCCATGTTCGCGACGTCTAATTGGAAAAGTTTTATCACGAAAAGCAAATATATGTTTTGAGCCTGAAATGAATGCATTTTGTGGTAATGGTAAAGTTGAAAATGATACAAATGGTTTTGCAGAAGAATGTGATGTTGGTAGTTTACTATCCGGAATTACTGATCAGTAAGTAATATTTAAACATTTAATTTTCATTTAGTTTAAAAATTTTTTCTTACCATTATAAAATATAAATAGCTAAAAAAAAAGAGGTAATTCTAATGTATATTTCAATTAAATTTGATACAAAATAAAAAGGTTTTTTTTTTTTTTTTTTTTTTAAAAAAAAAAGGAAAAACAATTCGGCTTTTGTTTTTATTTAATAATAAAAGACAAGTGTTCTTTTTTTTTTCTTGGATATATTATTAATTTTAAAGATTTCATTTTTTCATTATTGCACTTGATATGATATGATATCAGTAAAATAAATGTGATATGATATCAGTAAAATAAATGAATGATTTTTTTTTTTTTTTTTTAGATGTTGTACATCAGATTGTCGTTTTAAACCGAATGCAATTTGTTCACCAAAAAATAGTCCATGTTGTTCAAGTAATTGTCAATTTCTTCCATCAACTCATCTTTGTCTTCATGAAAATCGATTTCAATGCAAACTTTCTTCATATTGCACGTTAGTTGTTTACTGTTTTTGTTTTTGTTTTTTCATATTGCACGTTAGTTGTTTACTGTTTTTGTTTTTGTTTTTTCATATTGCACGTTAGTTGTTTACTGTTTTTGTTTTTGTTTTTCATATTGCACGTTAGTTGTTTATTATTATTATTATTTTTTTTCATATTGCACGTTGTTTACTATTTTCGTTTTTGTTTTTTCCAGGGGCAATTCAGGTGAATGTCCAGAGCCTGGTTTTGTACAAGATGGTACACCATGCATTGAAGATGGTGAATGTTTGAATGGTCATTGTCTTACATTTTGTGAAAAGCCATCTGTCAACAAAAAACCGTGTATGTGTAGTAGAGGTAACTTTTTTGATTAAATTAATAAATATTTAATACTAGATTATTAATTCATTAATTTTTTATATGTAGTTTTTAATTTTCGTATATGATTACTGATTAATTTTTATATAAAGTTTATTACTGACTAAAGTGATTTCAATTATTTTCAACATCTCTTTTTTTTTGTAGTATTTGTTAAATGTTTAATGTGTGTATCAATCTCTGATTATTTTAATAAATATTTAATACTAGATTATTAATTCATTAATTGTTTATATATAGTTTTTTAATTTTCATATATTATCACTGATTAAAATGATAACAATTATTTTCAACATTTTTTTTTTTTTTTTGTAGTATTCGTTAAATATTTGATATGTGTATCAATTTTCAATTAATTTAAATTTACATTTGTCAGTTAAACTATGTGAAGTTTTTCAATTCGAATTACAATTACAATAATAATTATAAATATAAAAGCATATAGAATCAAAATTAGCAAGGATAATGTTAATTTCATGAATTTTATTAATTCATAAATGCTTTAAAAAAATAAATAATAATTTCATGAATTTTATTAATTTATAAATTTTATGAAAAAAAAAAAAAAAAATTACAGAAGCAGTTGCATGCTTACGTTGTTGTCGTTCTGAAAATGGTACATGTGAACCATATAGTTATGATCCCAAATATATTTTAAAAGATGGTACTCGTTGTATTCATGGTACATGCTTACGTGTTAGTTTTTTTTTTTTTATTTTATTTTTCTATTTTAAAATTTATTTTAAAATTTAAAACTCAAAAATTTTTTATAGTAAAATTTATAGGTAGGTAATTAAAGAAAGATATATTTAAAATATGCTCAATTTTTCACAAAAATATTTGACAAAAAAAAATAAGATATGTGATGATCAGAATTTCTTCTTTTTTTTTTTTTATTCTATTTTAAAATTTATTGAAAGCAGATAGTTTCTCAAAATCTTTTATAGTAAAATTTATAGGTAATGAAAAAAAAAAAAAAATATATTTAAAATTTATTCAATTGTTCACAAAAATAAAAAAAATGAGATATGTAATAATCAGAATTTCTTTTTTTTTTTTTTTTTTGATTAAGTTTAGAAATATTGATGTTTGTTTACTCACAGTTTTTGAATTTTTTTTTTTTTTATTTTCAAATAGTCAAAAAAAAAAAATTTTAGTTCTATCTTTATTTTATAAAATATGTATAATGTGACTTTTTTTTTTTCTATATTATAGGCTATTTGTATTAAAGAAGTTGCTGATGTTATTTCTCATTTTTGGTCTATCATTGAAAATATTGATGAAAAGAATTTTTGTAAGTAAAAATTATTTATTTATTTATTTATTTCTAATGTTGTTAAATAGAAATGCTTTTTGATGAAATACAAATGATATTATATTTTTTTTTTTTGAAATTGCTAATTTCAAATTATAGTTAAATTTTTTCAAATTATAGTAATATTCAATATTTACTTCCTTTTTTTTTTTTTATTAGAATATTCGAGAAAAAGAAATACATATCTATGCTTTTTGATGAAATACAAATGATATTGTATTTTTGAAATTGTTAATTTCAAATTATAGTTAAATTTTGTAATATTCAAAATTTACTTCCTTTTTTTTCATTCTTTTTTATTAGAATATTCGAGAAATGATATTCGAGAATGATTAAACTTAAGCAGTAAATAATTTTTCTTTTTTTTTTTTCGAGAAATGATATTCGAGAATGATTAAACTTAAGCAGTAAATAATTTTTTTTGTTTTTTTTTAAGGGAAATTTGTTGGTGACAATTTGGTTGGTATCATTGCAGCTATTGTTTTGATTATATGGATTCCTGCAAGTATAATTATACATAAAATAGTATGTATTTTTTAAAATATTTTTTTTAAAAAAAAAAAAAAAAAAGAAACACTGTCATATTGTCGTCATAATTATTCATATCAGTAATAGTTAATTCTAATGTTATTCGTAAAAATTGAAGAGTAATTTTTTTTTTTTTTTTTTTTTTGAGAAATTATTTTGGTACTAATATTGAGAATAAACTATTTTACTATTTACATCTAAATGTTTTTTTTTTTAATTATTTGATTTGTAATTTCAATATTTTTCTTTTGTTTTTTTTTTTTTTAGGATAAAGCACGTGAAATTGCAGCAATTAATGAAAGTGAAAATCGTATTGAAATTGTTGGAGAAAAATCAATTTACAAATATATTATTAATTCATATTCTGAAGAAGATGATATTGATAGAAATTCACGATATTAATTCTAAATTTTCATTTTTTATTGAAAAAAAAAGAAAAGTATTTGATTAATGAAAAATGTTAGTATATGAGAAAAAAATTTTTATAAAGCAAAATTAGATTTATTTAAAACTTTTAATGATTATATGTTTTATAGTTGTTAATATTAACATTTAACTTTTATTCTTGTATATAATTTAATTTTTTTTTTTTTTTTTATCACTCTTTATACATATCAATTTTTTAACTGAGATCAAAATGTTTTTATTTCTAAATTCTCATTTCTGTTTACTTTTTCATGTCTGAAATATGAAATATTTAATTAATTGTGTAGTAAAGCTATTTAAATTTTTAAATTGAATAATTGCTCCTAGTAAGATTTGGATTAAAATATATAAAATTGCTAGGTTAATAATTTAATCATACTTAATGATTAATGCAATCTCTTCATGTTTATGTTTCAAAATGTTTATTCAATTTTATCAATTTTATATGTTTATGTTTCAAAATGTTTATTCAATTTTATCAATTTTATCATCATTTTTTTTTTTTTTTTACTATCAATTTTAATGCTTTAAAGTTGTTATATGGTGTAATCAAAAAAAGTTATTAAAAATTTCACTTGAAAAGTAATTTTTAAAAAACAAAAATTACTCTTTTCTTATTCATTAAAATGATCAAAGTACTCATGGTTTAAAAGTCTCTTAGCCTGTTGTTGTTGTTGTTGTTGTTGTTTATTAAGCAAATGTTTATTGGAAAGAAATAATTTATACACTGTAATCAATGATCAATAATCATATCACTTCTTTCCTAATTTTTTCATCCTCAAATAAACATTAACACTAATCTCATAATTTGTAACTATGAGAAGTTAAAAATGAGAGATATGAAAAAAGGAAAGACTAAAACATAAATAAATAAATCAAAAAAAAAAATTTCTCGAATATTTAATGATCTCTAGAGATCACTCTGAGTGAATAATACAAAATTCTCATGTTTTTTTCTTTTCTTTTTGACAAACAAAACGAATTTTTAAAATTCAGGAATGGAGTAAATATGATAGATAAAAGAAATATAAAATTAGATTTCGATGCAAAATAAAAAAAAAAAAGAAAAAAGGGAAAAAGACATAAAAATTAAATTTCTACATAAAAAAAAAAAAAAAAAAAAACAAAAATAACTTTTCTGTTATTTCAAATACTTTACAATTAACTTGTAAAAGGACTATTTTTCTCTTGTATTTTTGCTATATACTTTTGTAAAGCTCTTTCTAAAATTTCCACACAATTACTATGACCAAATTCTCTAGCATCATCCAATGGTTTTCGTCCATAACGATCCAATGGATCTAAACTATTTTTTCAAATATTTTCATAAAAAAAAAAAGAGACAAATTTGAAATATGATCTAAAACTAATATAAAACAATTATTACTAATACCTTTTTTTTTTTTAAATTCTCGACTTTTTTTTTTTTCTTTTCTAACCCTAATAACTTTTATAGTACTATGAATTACCTACTGCCTCAATATAATAATATCTAAAATAGATAATGCTGATAAAAAAAATGATAATTGTTATCAATTTACTATGATTATATTATTTAGTATTTGAATTTCTTAGTAATTTGTTTACCTGGACTTTCTTGCCATCGTTGCAATAAAAATTTGAGAACATTCTCATTTCCATGTGCTGCAGCAACATGTAAAACAGTACGATCATCGTAATCTCTTTCAGCGATACTTGCACCCAATAAAAGATATCTGAAAATACTTTGTATCATTTTTAAATAGAATAATTTACAAATCTAATCATATTTTTATTAGAGTTGTATAATTTTAAAAATATTAGCATTAGCAAAATTGCTTAAATCATTCACTTTCAATTTCTAATTTCTTTTTTTTTTTTTTTTTTTAATTATTTCATTTAATTGTTTTTTTTTTTTTTCATATTTTTAAATTCTTCAAGAATTTTGGTTTTTTTTTTTTTTAATTATTATTTCATCTAATTGTTTTTTTTTTTTTTTTTAAATTATTATTTCATTTAATTGTTTTTTTTTTTTTTCATATTTTCAAATTCTTCAAAAATTTTGGTTTTTTTTTTTTTTCAGACTTTATATGTTGAAAATTTAAATTAAACTCTACTAAGTTATTATTTCATTTAGTTGTCTTTTTTTTTTTTTTTCTTTTTCAGATTTTATATGTTGAAAATTTTTTTACAATAATCTTTTTAAAATTTCTTCAAATTTAAATTAAACTCTAATTATGATCAGTTTTAACAATTTCAGTTCTTTTTTTTTTCATACTTTATACGTTGAAAATTTTTTAAAATTATCTTTTTAAAATTTCTTTTAAAATTAAATTAAACTCTAATAATGATCATATATTAAACTTCCAAAAAAAAAAAAAAAAATCCAATCCGTTTAATTTAATTTCCAATTAAAGTTTAATCAAATTATCATGATTAAATTCATGTCACATCTCTGCTAATGAAAAACTGACTTAATCTGAATCTGAAAACAAGTAAAACATATTAAATTTCACCTTTGAATAGATGAAATATCACCAGTAGTTGCAGCATACATCATATTTGATACAGATTCATGTTTCACTTCTCGAATCTTTTTTCGAGGATCAATCTTATGCGTTTCAGAGTAAACCTTAAAATAAAATTGTAAAAAAAAAAAAAAAAAAAAAAAAAAACATTTATTCACATAATTTATTTTAATCTATAAACTTAAAAATTTAATTTTAGTGTGATGAAAAAATTTATAATTCATTAATAAATATATCTAATTTATTAATAATTATTAATAATAAACATATCTTAATAAACATATAATTTATTAATATAATAAATAATAAACATATAATTTATTAATAAACATACCACATTTTTTTTTTTTTTTAAAAAAAATTATCAAATTTTATAGCAAAATTTACAAATAAATGTCCAATCTAAACATACAAGACTATCATAATTATGAAAATTGAATTTTTCCACAAATTGTTCCGCAAATTTTACACCTCGAACTGTATTACCAAGTTGATCAAGCGGTGGTGAAAATAAACAAATACCCATAACATTTGGTACAACAATAATCATATCACCGGATACACCACTTTTTGCCGGTAAACCAACCTGAAAAAAAAGAAAAAAAAAAAATAAAATTAAATTAAATAATTAAATAAAACATTTCAATCTTAATTTTTTTTTTTTTTTTTTGGAAAACCATAAATACCTTAAAAGATACCTTGAAAGCAAATTGTCCAGAATAATCATACATTCCACATGAATACATTAATGATAACGTATCACGAACCGCTCGATTACATACAACTCGTTCCTCACTTAACGGTGATACTCCACCATTAGCTAATGTTGCTGCCATTACTGCTAATGTATCAACATTTGTTTCAATTGAACAAAGTTGAAAATATAAATCTAAAGTATCCTGAAATTATCAAATAAAAATTAGATTAAATTCCATCAATTTATTTTGTAAAAAAAAAAAAAAAAATCCAATAATTTTATATTGTTTACGGTTAAATTAGGTTAATTAACTAAATTAGGTTAGTTATGTACTAAAAAACAAACAAACAAACAAACAAACAAATTTTATATTGTTTACGGTTAAATTAGGTTAGTTATGGACTAAAACAAACAATCAAATGCTTTTATGAACTGAAAAAAAAAAAAAAATGATCATATTTGAAAATAAAATATATAATAAGTCAAATCAAAATTTTGCAAGCAATAATTTGATATATAATATAGTTGGACAAATTTTTCAAAATGTTTAATTTTTCAAAAGCAGGAAAAAATTTCAAATCAAAATAAGAACAAATTTGAAACCCTTGTCATATTTTTATGTATTTAATTGCATTAATTGAAAAAACAAAACAAAACATCAAAATATTTCTTCTTTCTCAATTTCTTAATTTTTTTTTTCGAATATTTAAACTACGTAAGATGATAAGATCAGATTAAAATAACACAAATTCACAAAATTCACATTATCAATTATTTAATGTAAGAAAATTTATCTTTTCAATATCAAAAAATTTTCATAATTTAAACTTTCTCATATATTCTTTTGTATCTAATTGCACTAATTAAAAAAAAAAAAAACAAAAAAACAAAAAAACAAAAAACAAAACATCAAAATATTTCTTCTTTCTCAATTTCTTAATTTTTTTTTTTTCTTTCAAATATTTAAACTACGTAAGATGATAAGATTAGATTAAAATAACATTATCAAATTCACATTATCAAATAAAATTTTTCAAAGAAAATAAAAAAAAAAAAAGAAATTTAAAAGAAATTCAATTATTCAAAGAGAAAAACGAAATCAAAAGGAAATTTTTCGTTTCATAATTTAAAAAGAAAACAAAAACAAAACAAATTTATATTCTAAAAAAAAAAAAAAAAAAAAAAAAAAGTTATTTACTTGTAAACTTGTTTTTGGTGGAAAACATTTATGTTCACGCATATAATATGATAATGCATAATTACGATCAGCTGTTTCACGTTCAGATAAAAAAACAGCATTATTAAAACCAACAAAACCACCAGCAGCAAATCGTTTAAAATATTGCAATGCAAAATCAAATCGATCAGCAAGTGAATTGGAACGTTTAAGTAATGATGCTACTAATATTGCACCTGCATTGATCATTGGATTATGTGGCTTATCTGAAAAAAAACATTTTCGTTTCTTTTCTTTTCTTTTCCATTTATTATTCCATTAATTTTCTTTTTATTTTAAAAAAAAAAAAAAAAAAAAAATTGTTCATTTTTTTGTTAAATTTTTCAAATTTCAAAATTTATAATTTCAATAAAATTTCCTCGTTTTATGCTTATACATCTATATATACATATATTTTTTTCATTTTAATATCATTTAAATTTCAATCATAATTGCATGCTTTACTCTTTTTCCTTTTTTTTTTTTTTACTTTCTTTCTTCTCCCACAAATTATTTTAATTTCATATTTCATTTTTCAATTATGTAAATTTACATTTAAATTTCAATCATAATTGCATGTTTCACTCTTTTTTTTTTCTTTCTTCTTCCACAAATTATTTTAATTTCATATTTCATTTTTTAATTATGCAATTTATTTCATTCACTTTTTTTTTTTTTACTTCATTAAAATTTAATCTAAGAAAAAAAAAAACACCAAAAAATATTTTGTTTATTTTAATAATTGATGGAAAAGTTTGATATTTAAATGCAAAAATGGATAGCAAACATTTTCAATCTGATAATTGAATTTTTTTTTTTTTTGGATAGCAAACATTTTCAATCTGATAATTGAATTTTTTTTATGTATGTATGTAATTTTAGTTTCTTCTATCAATCTAATAGATTTAAATGCAAAAAACATACAATTAGAAAAATCCAATCATATTTTAAATATTAGACATTAAAATTAACAAAAATCAATCATTTACCAATTGCTATAAGCATAAATAATTATTCAAACAAACAAACAAAAAAAAAATTTTATATTTTCAAAAAAAAAAAAGATTACATTTTTCAAATTTACCTATTTTTTTTTTTTTTTACTTCATTTAAATTCAAATTATAGAAATAGAAATAAACTTTTTCACCATAGGAATAAATTTAAATTATAAAATGACTTATGGAATTAGTTTCAAAAAAAAAAAGTTTAATTATGGAATTAATTTCAAAAAAAAAAAAAAGAAAAAACTAATAATATAATGTAAAAGATATTCACATTTTTATGATTCGCATAATTTGACTTTTATAATTTAGATGGAAAAAAAAAAAAAAAAAAGCAATTAAATTTAATTTTTTTTTTTAACCAAATAATTTTATCTTTATTAGTTAAAAAGAAAAAAAAAAGAAAATCATCATTTATATGTATTATTTCACTTCATCCACTAATGATATATGAATTTTTAAAGTTTTTTGCCAAAATGCCAATATGACATAAATCAATTTTGATTAATTATAAGAATTTTTTTTTAAAAAAAAAAAGCAAATCACAATAGTTATTGCACATAATTGATGTATTTCATGCATAAATAAAAATTTAAAAACCACTTTTCCTCAATATATTTTCTTTGTTTTTTTTTTTTTTTGCATCTTTTCTCTTGCATATTTATTTCATATAAAGAATAAAGATTACTAAATATATATATTCTAATAAATGCATTACTAAACAAATTATTTAATATTTACATAAAAATTTCCACATTGTCATCTTTATTTAGATTTATGATTTATTTACAAATGCCACAGTTTGACTAAGAGAATAGCAAAAGAAAAAAGAAAAATAAAAAGAAAAATTGAATCACTTACGATTATGATCCAAGCAAATTTCATTGAATAATCGACCTGATGGCTCTTGACCGATATATTTATGTACCTTTAAAAATTTTTTTTTTCTTTTTTTTCAAAGTTAAATAAATTAATTTAAAAAAAAAAGAAAAGTAAATTAAAAAAATTAAATTAGTGAAAGTTTTTTTTTTTTTTTTTTTCTTATTTTTCTGTCTTTTCGCTTTTCAATTTAAAGATAACAAATAGACAAATATTGTTAATTAATTATTAAAATTTATGAAAATTTTTACAAAATTTAAAAAAAAAAAAAAAAAGTAAGTATACTTACTTCTTCTGCACCAAGTTCATCCATAGCAATAGCATAGGTAAATGGTTTTGATACACTTTGCAAGCAAAATGGTACTTGTGTAGCACCCCATGATCGACGTTGTCCATCAATGGTACAAACAGCCATAGCCCATGTTTTTGGATCTGATCGAGCTAATTGCGGAATGTATGTTGCTACCTGAAAATATTAACCTGAAATTTATTTGAATAGCTATTTAATAACCAATTAAGATAACAATATATTGATTGAATGATTAATTGATTGATTGGCAAATTGACTGACTGATTGATTGATTGATTGATCGTAGTGAATAAATGCTATTAAATGAAATTAAAAAAAAAAAAACAAGAGACTTTTGAAATTGTGAATAAACATCCCGGAAGAAATGAAAATAAAACCGATAACACAGATCATATAGAGTTTCAAAGTACTCCTATTGATCAGAAATGATCAATCAAATGGATCAATTGGCTGCTAATTAATTAAAAGACCAGAAAATGATAATATTTAAAGAAAAAAAAATTAAAACTAAAAGATGTAAGTCATAAATAGTGATGATTCATTTATTTGGATAGCTATTCGATAGCTAATTAAGATGACAACATATCGATTGATTGATTGATTGATTGGTAGATTGGTAGATTGACTGATTGATTAATTAACTGATCGTAGTGAATAAATGCTATTAAATGAAATTACAAAAAACAAAAAACTTTTGAAATTGTGAATGAAAATAAAACCGATAAATATATAAAGTTTCAAAGTATTCCTATTGATCACAGATGATCAATCAAATGGATCAATTGGCTGAGAATGCCTTAATTAATTAAAAGACCAGAAAATAACAATATTTAAAGAAAAAAAAAATTAAAAAATGTAAATCATAAATAGTGATGATTCATTTCAACAATTTCTATATTTCAATCACAAATAAAAATTTTTTCTAGACTATTTCAATAATTTCAAAATTAACATATCAAGTGGAAATTTCGGCTCTTATTTCCTTCATTTTTTTCTCTCTCTCTTTTTTAGTAAAATGATTCACTACTCATCTTCTCATCATCATAAGTCATACAAAAATATCAGTAGGAAAAAAATTATAAAATAAATGATCAATAGAATTTCTTTTTCATGAAATAAATGTTCGGAAACTATCAGTTTTATCAGTTATCAGTTTTATCAGTTCTATTATTATTATTATTATCAGTTTTATCAGTTCTATTACTATTATTATTATCAGTTTTATCAGTAAAACAAAGGAAATATAAAATGTAGAAAAAAAAAAAAAACATTGATTGATTGCTGCTGAATGATTGTATCTTTTAACATTTAAAACGTACGAGAAGAAAAATAAAAAAAAAAAAAGAAAAATTTTTCATTAGATTTTGATAAAATCTAAATAAATTTTTTTTCTAAGTTTGAATCAATATAATATGAAAATAAACTGTAAAAATATTTACTTTTACTTAAATTATAAAAAAAAAAAAAAAAGCATTGAAAATAAAACTAACATTTCCATCATTAAAATCGCGACATGATTCAAAAATTTCACCAAGAACTGTAATAAATGCTGGCCAATCCGGAATTACAAGTTGTTTTTTTAAAGCTTTTGCAATAATTCCAATTGCATCACCAACATATCTGAAAAACAAAAACCCCCAAAAGCTTACAGCTTACAACAAAAGTTTTTTTTTTTTATCATTTATAATGATTTTAAAATTTTAATCTAAAAAAAAAAAAAAAAAAAACCTTTTAAAAGTTTCACGATCCAAATTTTCATTTATAACTTCATTGGATGTTATATCCAAAACGGAATGTCTTCGTTCATCATGTCGTATTGCATGTAAAAAATTAGCTAAACGTGGATCATCACGTCTAATTCCAGTTTCATAAAGTAACTAAAAAAATTGATTTAAATACAAAAAAAGAAATTATTTAAAAAAATTGTTACTTCAATTTAAAAAAAAAAAATTCAATTTAATTTATTGCTTTATTAGCAAAGCAATTAAAATTTAAAATTTTAACTTTTCAAAATAATTACATCAATCGTTTATTGAAACGATGTTGGCAACATATTAATTGCAAATTGCAAAAAAAAAAAAAAAACATCTGCAACAGATGTTACAAATCTTGATCTTTACTTAAAATTATAGTTTCATTTTTCATTTTTTCCCTTTCAAAAAAAAAAAAAAAAATTAGTATAAATTTTGTTAATGAAACAAAATTCACAAATAAAATATAATCTGAAAAAGTAGCAATACATACATTTTCACTTTATCAATTTAAATTTATCTTCCATTATTCAGCAAAATAGTAAATGAACAACTTTTTTTTTTTTTTTTTTTTTTTTTTTTAAATAATATTTTACATTTTTTTATGATTTTTTTTTCCTTTTTTTTCCTTTGCAAAGAAACCAATTATTTTTGTAAAATTTTTTTAGAAATTTTTAAATATTATAATATTTTATAAACAATATGCGATATTTTGAATCAAAATTATTCGCTAAAATGTTATCAATTAATAGCAAAATAATACTAATAACACATAAAATAAATAACATATAATATAATCCATAATTAATTAAGGGGAAAAAAAAAAAAGAAAGGAATACCTTTAATAAACCAGATGATGATAAAGTTTCAGATTCCGGATTTCTATACAGATCAAAAACAGCATCATCAATATGTGGTGCACCTCTTGAACTTACAGAATCTGTTGAAAATTGTCGTTCACGAATACAACCCATCGAACCTCTTGATCTAGAAATTAATTTTTTTATCAATAAACAACCGAATCTTACAAACATTTCTCATCTAAATATATCGTTAAAATGTAAATCATTCTCATAAATACCACAAATTATTTTTTCATTTTAAACAAATAAAAAAGCACTCTAATTTTTCTTTTTTTTTTTTTTTTTACATTTCATAAATGAATAAATTTTTTTTTTTTTTTACATAATTGATGAAAAAGAAAAAGAAAAAAAAAAAAGTTAATTTTTTTAAAATTTTATTTCAATTTATTTCTATATATAACATATTCAGTGGTAAACATTTAGATTAAATAAAGCAAAAATTTAAACCAAACCAAACAAAATATCATTAAAAAAAAAAAAAAAAAAAAAAAAAAAAAAAACCATTGCTTGGGAGAAGTTTTGATAAAAATAAGAATATTCTAGATAATAAAAAAAAAAAAAAATGTAACATAAATAAAATAAGTGGAAAATTTTCACAATTTTATTATTAATTGAGAGAAATAATAGTATTACTACTAATCAGACCAGGATCAAATTTTATGAGAATGTAAGTCTCCTCAATATATCACAAAAATGAAAAAATGAAAGATTTCATTTCATTTTTTTGAAAAAAAAAATTTTTTTTCGCAATTTAAAAAAAAAATTATTGATTCATTCCTTTCTAAATTGTAATACATCTGAAGTAGTAAGGAAAAAAAAAAGAAAAAAAAAAAAAAAAAAGGACAAATTTAATAAATTTGTTAACTTGTTCTCGACTCTACCAGCAAATGAATTTCATCACCAAAAAAAAAAAAAGTATATTTTTTTTTTCTTTTTCTCTTTTTTTTGGAAAAAAAAAAAAAAAAAAAAAAAACAAACTGATAAAAAGATAATAATTTAATCTATAACATATTAAAGAAAACAAATAATTAATTTTGATGATTATCAAAAAAAAAAAAAAATAAATAAATAAACCTTGACGAGAATAGGTAACAAATATCATAGGTGATATCAAAGAAGAAGCAAGACGAGAAATTAATAATAATAATAATAATCGTAATAATTAGATATTATCCTACAATTGAATTCATTTCCTTATTTTGTATGTTCTTTTTTATTCTCAAAAATTATAGCAATAATAAAGTTATTAATTTTCAATGCAAAATATTAACTTTATATTTTGGAAATTAAAATTAAAAATTATCGAAAAATTTTAATTACAAAAATTTTGCTTATTTTGCCTATAAATATATATATATATATATAGAGAATAAATTTTATATCTATAATGAAAATTCAAAAAATAAATAAATAAATAAATAAGAATAAATATATATATATATATAGAATAAATTTTATATCTATAATGAAAATTCAAAAAATAAATAAATAAATAAATAAGAATAAAAAGTATTAATCATTTAGGATCAGTGATAAACAACAATTGTTACTTTATCGGCATCGAAGTATTAACAATAGATGATCATCATCCCTCATGTGACAATCAATCGAGAGCATTGATATCATTTCGAACAAAGTTGAAATGATAGTAAACAAAGTTATAGTATTTTTGAATTTATCTTATTTCTTACCTCTTTTTTTTTTTTTATTTTTTTAACAAGAAAAAATTATTATTACTATTATTATTATTATTATTGAGAAGAAAATATTCGAAACTAATAAAAGCTTTTTTCTTTTTTTTTTTTTTCCAAATATATAAAAGCATTGCAAATGAAAAAGAACGAAAAGATAATTTAGAAAAAAAAAAAAAAAGAAGGAAGGAAGGAAAAGAATAGAAAGAGAGAGAGAGAGAGAGAGGGAGAGAAAGAGAAAGAAAGAAAAAAAAGCATAAAAAGAAAACAATTTTATAAATAATTTAAGAGAAAATAAGGAGAATGTTAGCTATTCAAAACTGAAAAAAAATAAAAAAAATTAAAAAAAAAAAAAAGCATACCTCCGAAATGAAGGCATCCCTTACGTTGATAATAGGTTATTGCTTCGTAGTTATTTCCAAGATATGTCCCTCTTTCTCTCTCTCTCTCTCTCTCCCTCTCTCCCTGTATATCTTTTTCCTAAAGTTGAATATCATCAAGTAATCAATTTGTTTCTAAAATTTTTTCAACAAACTAAAACTTTTTCTTTTTCTTTTTTTTTTTTTTTTCTTCTTTTCAATAATTATTAAAAGAAATGAAAAATAAACAAGCAAACAAACAAACAAACAAACAAACAGACAAGCAAATAAACAAACAAAAAGAAAGAAAGAAATGAAAGTATCAAATTAAAATGTAAGCCAAAAAGAAAAATGAAAAATCAACTAGCTTAATATAGCTTTTAAAGAGATGTAAAGGGAGAAAAAATGAATGAATCTTCTTTTAACTGAGATGAAAGAAATGAATGAATGACAATGATAACAATAATAATAATAATAATAATAATAATAATAATAATAATAATAATAATAATAATAATAATAATAATAATAATAATAATAATAATAATAATAATAATAAAAAGGAAACGGAAAAATGAAAGATAAATTTTCATCTCTAAAATTTCTTCTTTTCATTCATAATATAATCACCATAAATGAAGAATGCTATTTTTATTTGCAATAATACAATTGAAAATTTCTTCATTCTCATAATTCATAATACTTTTATCAAAAAAAAAAATACAACCGAAATGCGAAAAAAAAAAAAAAAATAAGAGAAAAAAAAAAGGATTCAAAATAGAGGAAAATTTTTTGAATTCTTTAAAATATAACAAAAAAAAACTTTGTCAGTCAATAGGAAAAAAAAACAAAAAACAAAAGAAATAATAATTATTAAAATTTTAATAATATAAAAGTTTATTAATAACAAATTGTGTATTCTGTGAATAATTTGAAATATAAATGCATTTGCATTTGTTTCAGAAAGCATATAAATATGGATATTTAATGATTACTTCTTTCTCTTTCTCTCTCTCTCTCTCCCTTTTTTTTTCTTTTTCTTTTTTCCCTCATTTCTCCTTCTTTACTAGGCTCATTATTAAATCATCCTTCGTACTAGGCTCATATTAAATCTCAGGCTCATTTTGGCATCGATTTGCTTGTGCTCTAATTTTAGAATATTGTGCTTATTGCAAGCACAAAATGCAACTAAGGGATGAATGAAGAAATGAATAAAAAGAGAGATAATCAATCTTTTTTTCATTATTAGCTGAAACTTTCTCATTCCAAAAATAAATTGAAATGAAAATTAAAAAAATAAAATAAAATAAAATAAAATCTGAAAAAGGGATGCAATATTTGCTCATATGCTTAAAGTCAATAGATGTATATAGGATGAAGAGAAATATTAGTAATTGATAACAATAAAAATAATTTAAAGATAAAAAATAGAAAATTAAAATAAAATTTTTTAAAAAAAAAAAAAAAATCAAAAATTCAAAAAAAAAAATATGAGAAAATATAAGACCAAAAAAGAAGCAAAAAATAAAGAATAAAAATTTAAAAATTAAAAAAGAAAAAGAAAAAATAGTAAAAAATAAAAACAAATGAAAAAAATAAAAAATTAAAAAAAAATTAAATGAAAAGTAAAGGCAAATAATAAACGAAGAACAAAAAAAAAAAAAATAAAGAAAGAAAAAGTAAACATAAAGAATACTAAAATTAAAAATTGGAAATAAAACTAAAAAAAAAGAAAAACTAAAAAAAAGAATAAACAATAAAAAATTTATAAAATAATAAATAAGTAATAAATAATGCAAATCAATAACAAATAACTAAACAAAATTGATTCTTCATCCATTTCCTGATTATGACCTATTTTTCGTAACTTAGGAGTGAAATTTAAAAAACATTTGTCAAATGAATCAAAGCTAAAATTTATTATCATATTTTTACCTAAGCTTCAAATAGCTTCAAAATTAATTATCATATTTTTACCTAAGCTTCAAATAGCTTCAAAATTTATTATCATATTTTTACCTAAGCTTCAAATAGCTTCAAAATTTATTATCATATTTTTACCTAAGCTTCAAATAGCTTCAAAATTAATTATCATATTTTTACCTAAGCTTCAAATAGCTTCAAAATTAATTATCATATTTTTACCTAAGCTTCAAATTTTCAAATTATGCATTAGTTTTCACAATTTTTGGAGAGGAAGGGGAGGAGGAGGAGTAGAAAGAAATGTCAAAAACTAACAATCAAATAAATTAAATTGAATAGAATAAGAAGAACCATTGTCCATGAATCATTTAGAAAAAGCTTTTTTCATTTGAAGTGCCATGTAAGGTGCAAAATAGAAAAAAAAAGAATTTCAATTTGAAATTAAATGTACCAAAAATGTTAGGGGATGCAAATGAATAAATGACAAATGCGACAATCAACTATCATAATTGCATTTCTAAATTTATTCAATTTCAAAAATTTTACATTTACACAAAATTTTTAAATAAATTTCAGAAAAAAAAAAAAAATTTCTTATATAAAAAATTTTTTATATAGCTTATAAGATTAACTTACTTAGAAGTGATGGAGACAAAACGATTGAAATAAACATTAACAATAATGTCTCATTAAAATGCTTAATGATGAAATTAATCATTAGGAACTAATAGATCAGACGGGAACAGATCAAATCAGATTTGTTAATATTCATATCTTTAGATCAAATATGTAATTTTCTTTTATCAAAAAAAAAAAGGGAAAAAAAGACTGATATACTTAATTCTATCCTGTAACTACTTGATTTCAATTCGTTTATTTTTACTTAATCTAATCCATATTACAGTTTTTCTTTTTTTTTTTTACCTAACTTAACCCATGTTAACTTTATTTTTACCTAACTTTACTTATATTCAAGTTATTTTATTCACCAATGTACAATTATTATTCGTAAATTTTAATCATTCATCCATTTATCCGTATTTCAGTTACAATCTACGCCAAAAAGTTATTATTATAATTATCACATGACTCATTTCTTTGCTACATTTAAATTTTCAATAGTATAATTATTTGAAAATTTCATTTCAATTAAAATTTACTAGTAGCAGTTGTTATATCAATTGCAATTATATACATTTTTAACAATATATTTATTATAACTAATTTATATGATTAAATTTATACTTACTATGATCAGTTTCTACTTATTGTTAAATTAATTTCTACTTGATTTAGTTTAAAAAAAAAAAAAAAAACATATGTGAATAATATTTTACTTATTTTTAATCTGCTAGAAATAATTTCACTTATATTTTTAATTTTAATCCGTCCATTATATAACAATGCAATTTATTGTCTATAACAAGTAGAATTCATTAAATGACAACATTTTTGGTGACAAAAAAAAAAAAAAAAAAAATGCTGTCACCAAATACATCAGTAAATATAAGTTGTGCATAGGACGACGAGCTAATCGACTGTCAAAGAGACAGCAGTTGACCTCCTTATCATTCGATAATCAAATAAAAAAAAAAAAAAAAAGAAAGAAAGAAGACTGCTAACAAAATGATTAACTGAGGAAGTTAAATAAGATGAAAGTAGCATAATCGAAATTGAAAAAAATTTTTAGATCAAAAGGATAAAAAATATTGCTCCTAAAAATCATTTTGTATTAAAATGAATTATTAAGATGATTAATTTTGATCGTTTAAATAAATTAATAATCTCAAAAAATGTTGAAATAAGATAATAAAAAGAAAATAGATGAAATTTGATAACATATACAAAAATTATTTCATTATATAAGTAACTGATTGATTATATGTCAGTCAATTTTTAAAATGATGCAAATTTCCTATCAATACAGAATGATAATATTTATCTTAATTACTGGTTTCTGTTTGCAAAGATAAATACAGCTGAATTTTAACTTGAGATATAAGTGAAATTATGACAATTACTGTTTCTGTTATTAATTACCGCTTAAAATTCAAATATATAAAAGAGTTAAAAAAACATTTAGCTTTTTTATATGAAATGAATCTTAGATGAATTATGAATAAAAAATAAATTAGGTTATATTTTAGCTTTTTATAACTTACTAATGCATCCAATTTCAGTATAATAAAAAATTTTTTAAGTTTATGAATTGCAAATTAATATTCACGTTATCATCCACTTAACATTCTATCATTCACGTTGTCACTCACTTAACACTGTATCATTCACGTTATCATCCACTATCATTCATGTAATCATCCACTTAACATTGTATCATTCACGTTGTCACTCACTTAACACTGTATCATTCACGTTATCATCCAGTTAACATTGTATCATTCACGTTGTCACTCACTTAACACTGTATCATTCACGTTATCATCCAGTTAACATTCTATCATTCACGTTGTCACTCACTTAACACTGTATCATTCACGTAATCATCCACTATCATTCATGTAATCATCCACTTAACACTGTATCATTCACGTAATCATCCACTTAATACTGTATCATTCACGTAATCATCCACTTAACATTGTATCATTCACGTTGTCACTCACTTAACACTGTATCATTCACGTAATCATCCACTTAACACTGTATCATTCACGTAATCATCCACTTAATACTGTATCATTCACGTTATCATCCACTATCATTCACGTAATCATCCACTTAACACTGTATCATTCACGTTGTCACTCACTTAACACTGTATCATTCACGTTATCATCCACTATCATTCATGTAATCATCCACTTAACATTGTATCATTCACGTTGTCACTCACTTAACACTGTATCATTCACGTTATCATCCACTATCATTCATGTAATCATCCACTTAACACTGTATCATTCACGTTGTCACTCACTTAACACTGTATCATTCACGTTATCATCCACTATCATTCATGTAATCATCCACTTAACATTGTATCATTCACGTTGTCACTCACTTAACACTGTATCATTCACGTAATCATCCACTATCATTCACGTTATCATCCACTTAACACTCTATCATTCACGTTATCATCCACTTAACACTCTATCATTCACGTTATCATCCACTATCATTCATGTAATCATCCACTTAACATTGTATCATTCACGTTGTCACTCACTTAACACTGTATCATTCACGTTATCATCCAGTTAACATTCTATCATTCACGTTGTCACTCACTTATCATCCAGTTAACATTCTATCATTCACGTTGTCACTCACTTAACACTGTATCATTCACGTAATCATCCACTTAATACTGTATCTTCACGTTATCATTCACGTAATCATCCACTTAACATTGTATCATTCACGTTGTCACTCACTTAACACTGTATCATTCACGTAATCATCCACTTAATACTGTATCTTCACGTTATCATTCACGTAATCATCCACTTAACACTGTATCATTCACGTTGTCACTCACTTAATACTGTATCATTCACGTAATCATCCACTTAACACTGTATCATTCACGTTGTCACTCACTTAATACTGTATCATTCACGTAATCATCCACTTAATACTGTATCTTCACGTTATCATCCACTTAAACTGTTCACGTCACATTTACGTTACTATCCATTCATTATATTTTATACTTACGCATGAATGCAAAAACTCGACATATATTTAATATTACGATAAACTGTGCTTTTCTAAATATAATAGTTAAATGTAAAACAATTATTTCAATAAAATTGTATTACAACTCTTTTATGCCTTATACGTATACGTTTTTCTCGTTTTTTTCAATCTGTTACTGTCATCTAAGTATTGCGCTACACGTTTAAGCATTAATAAAATTATATCACAACAAAATGCATCTATGTATCATCAAAATAAAAATTAGATTTTTAAATTAATAATTAATAAATTGCTAACGCTTCCTATTTTGTTTTATCATGAAATGAATGCAAGCAAAGACACGTGTAAACTTATATTAGACATACTGACGTGTACTGACGTTTGAGTAGTCAGATTTAGACATAACAATCTAATGCAACGAGTAGTAAAGAAATATAACCAACAAGCAGAGAGCTACGTCAGAAAAAGAAAATAAATAAGTTGCAATAGTGTTGCTTTAGTTCATTTTGCATTTTGCAACGAAAATCTTCCTGTCGTAATAAAATTTAAGTTAGCAGACACTTTGCCGGTTGCTTTTTTAAATATCTGTTCGTTTGGTAGTTTGTGTTTTTGAGCTTTCTCATTTTTTTTTTTCATCTAATTTCATTCATTAATTTATCTGTTAAGTACTTGTATAAACAACAAAGTTTTTTAAAAAAAAATGACTAATCATATAAATAAAAGACAAAACCACTACCGATATCCAAAAAACAAAAACCAATTTGAGATGTAGTACTTAAAGCAGCAATCTCTTTTGCATCCTGTTCAATTAAAGCACAAAATGCAGAAAAAAACCATAGTGAAAAAAAAAAACCAATATAAAAAACAAAAGTCAAAATATCAGAATTCAAACAGACATTAGAATTATATTTCATTTCTTAAATTTGTTGAAAATTATTATATTAAACTATTTATTATTAATGGTATAATATTCCAGTCAATCATTTATTATATTCTTCCCAGTCTATTGCAATAATTTAAAAAAATTTATTATTTAAAATTAGCAAAATATGATTAAATTTTAGAGACTATGTTTGGTGGTTCGAAGGGAACTAATACAGGATTTACCTTTGGATCAACATCAACTACAACAAATGGAACAACAGCAGGTACACAAGGAGCAGCGAAACCTTTATTTTCTTTTGGAAATACTACGACATCTTCTGCTATCACAACTACTACACAATCCTCTGGTTTTTCCTTTGGCAACACATCTAAACCACTGTTATTTGGTGGAACTGCTGCAAGTGGTGGAACTGCTACAAGTGTAGCTTCTAATACTGGTGCCACAACTGGATTTAGTTTTGGATCCGCAACCAATAAAGGTCTTTATTATTCCTTTTTTTTTTTTTTTTTTTTTTAATTTGTGCTTATTGCATATGACATAATTTCTAGTTTTTTTTTTTTTTTTTCGTGAAATTCAGTTTAAATAACCTGTTGCTTTTTAGGATGGTAATAGGTAGGTAATTACCTTTTCAGGATTTGAATAAGTTTGGTTTGCAAAGTAGGATTCATTTTGGGTGAATGTGTAAGCTATACTACATGTAATACAAACAGAACATGATGATACATATTCTGAATGAGTAGAAAAAAATTGGAAAGTAACTTTTTTTGCAGTAAATTCTTATAACGAAGGAACATAACAAAACGCATCTATGTTAAAATGTATATGCAGATATCGGCTTTTTAGTGGAAGTTTCGATCTAATATGAGTATAGGTTTGAATAGCTGATTTGCCGGTTAATATCATGGGCTTTATGGAATAATCCATATGCGGACATATATTCAGCTTGGAGTTTTTCAAAAGAAACTTGTTTTTTCATAGAACGACTGAATGCTTCTTGATGTTATTAAACTGTAAATTTTCGAAAGATTTTTCCAGGAACAGGAAGTATTTTTGGCAGCACGTTTGGTTCACCTTCGACAACTGCGAATGGTGGTTTTACGTTTGGTGCTAAACCAGCCGCTGGTTCTGGTGGTTTATTTGGCACCTCCACAACCACATCATCATTGGCAGCAGCAACAACAACAACAGCAACGGCTCCTGCAAATACGACTGCATCAATCTTCTCTTCATCGCTTGGTAGAATTTAATTTTTTGTTGCACGACTTATGAGTTTATTCTGCAAATTCAGTCATTGAGTAATTTTTCTATTATATAATATACTTCTGAGTCGATTTTTATAAAAGCTTGCTTAGCGACTAAAATTAATAGCTTATTAATTGTTTATGCAATCTGTAATGGTTACTGTGGAAAAGGTGAAAGGCAATTCCCATGTTTTTGAAATCAGGTATTTAGGTGTTGGTGCAAAACCATCTTCATTGTTCGCTAATCTCACTTCACCAACGGTAACGGCAACACCAGCCACCACTACAAATGCTCAACTCGGTGGAGGTCTTTTGTTTGGAACTGTACCAACAACTGGTAACTAGCTGAAGCTTACTTATTCTTTATTTTTATAGCTTTGTCGTCACTGTAAGCTAATTATTTGGATAGGTTTTTATGTTTTTCCTTAAGATTACTTTCCTCATTCACTTAAGGTTTTTCCTCAGATTACTTTTTAAGACGTGTCATGCATGTCTGGATCATTGAATTTTATTTTGTTACAGACATCAGGAAATATGAGTAAAAGAATTTGTAGAGTTCGGGTACCTAAGGTTTTTCTTTATAACTAATTTAACAATCACAATTATTAGTGTTAACATTATAATTACTAAATGTGGCGTCATTGAAAAGATTGTCTTCAGCAACAAACACCGGTTCAGTTGGTACAACAACCAGTATGGCTCCATTTTCCTTCGGCACTCCAACTTCTAGTAGCCAACCTTCTGGTTCTTTATTTGGTAGGTTTTTTGTGATGTGCTGAAGATTTTATACTTTTTTATTCAAAAATATATTGAGATCTGTTCTGTCTAGAATTTAGTATTTCGGTGTTGATCTAAATCATTAAATATAATTTATTTACAGTGTTCAACCATAATCTGAAAGTAATTTGCTGAATATTTTTTACGAGAAAATGAAGATTATCTGCTATCTTACTCCAAATTATAATAAAATAAAAATTTGATTCATCAAGGTGGACATTTGGTTAACCTTCTCTGGGTTGGGATATACATAAAATGTTATCGTCAATTTTGTTCGGCAGTATTCTTCACCAAGATTATTGCTGAATTTTTTTAGGAAAAATCCCTTCTTTCAGGACTTGCAACAGTGCAGCCAGCTGTGTCTGCTACTCCAACTATTGGTGCTTCGACGAGTAGCCTCTTTGGTCAAAAATCGACTTCAGGAGGTTTATTTGGTCAAGTTGCTGCTACTACACCTAGCACTATTCCAACAACTGGATCTCTCTTTAGTACTTCGACTATAGGTTCCCTTTTGAAGTTTACTTTCTGACATATCTTTCGAGTGGTTCTAGAAGTGGCTTTTGTGACCTTAATGCGTCAGTAAATTTTTAGATAATTTATAAATTTAGAAGAATTTAAGAGTTTATAGTGATATACATGAATTATGTCATCATTATATCTTAGTATGATCTTACTGCAAAAATCAGAGTAAATCTGTGAAAGCATTGAAGATGAGACTGAAATGCAATCATTCTACAATAATTAATTAAGATGATTAATTATCTTCAGGTTATCTTTGAAAAATTTTTTGTGAATCAATCTAGCAAGTGAACGATTAAATTTGTAATATTTTTGATTTAGAAAAGAAATGATAAAGTTGGAAAAGAAGACAAATTTTGTTAAAGAATAACTTGAATTGCAATAATTCTAGCGAAATCAACATTTGCATCACCTTCGGCAATTGGTACTGCTGCAACTCCTGCTACTACTACTACTGTTGCGGCACCTGCCTTATCCTTTGGTTTCAACACTGCGGCTCCGACGACTGGAACCGCAGCACCATCTTTATTCGGTTCTGCTGTTTCTTCATTAACTTCGACTAGTACTGCACCTACTGTTGCATTTCAGTCTACTGCTTCCATGGCAGCTCCTCAATTTGCTGGATTATTTGGAACGAAAACTGCGTCAGTTACCACATCTGCGACTGGTACTACGTCGATGTCTGAATTGAGTGGTATGATTATACATATTGCAAGCCATGTTAAGATTTTGGGGAATTAGTTTGGGAATTCATAAATAAACTGTGTTGATGCTAATTGGCAAGCATCACGTTATCGGTGTCCTCAGTTGTAGAGTTGATTGAGCGAAATGAGTTGACTTTGTTTTTGGTAAATCATGTATCGAGTTTTTTTTATAAATTATGTTATAATTTTTTATGAATTAGTTGGCATATTTGTTGCAACAGTCCTGCTACTCATTTTTTAAAGAATCTGTTAATATCTTCTGTATATTTTTTGTGCATTGTTCTTGAAATCTTAACCATTAGCAAAGAAATGGTAAAAAAAAAATGGAACTAAGTCAATCATAGGTTATTATTTAGTATTTAGATTTAAATTTTATTATTTAGTATTTAAATTTAAAGTACATATGACCATTATTACTTCGTTGACTGTTAAAAAATTAAAAATGTTAATGCATAACGTCAAGTATTGTTCCTTATACCTCTTATATATGCTACCACTTACATTCGGTTATTATATTAGCAGGAAGTGTAGTTCTCGCTTGCCAACTGATAGCTTCTTAGTTTAATGTCGTATCTGTTGTTATAAAAAAAAAAAAAAAAATAATAATGGCATTCATAATGAAATGCTAGCTCATTTTTTCAAACATTTTATTAATAGTATGAGGATTCGAAAGGTATTGAAAGGAGTGCAGGTAACATCAGGGCATCTTTTAAATTTCAACTTCTTTTCGATCTGACTGATTTTTTCATTTTTTTTTTCCATTGATTTGGTTTCAGGTACAGCAGCACCATCATTAACTACTACAACTAGCAGTGCAGTGCTCTCTTTTGGTAGTACAGGTGAAATATCTGTTTTCTGGCTAAAAGCTAAAATGTGTTAAGTAGAGAATTCTTTTTTAGTACCAACAATTTCTAATGTCATATTTTTGTTTTATTCATATGCTTTTTTTTTTTTTAGTCTTTTCAGGTTGATTCGTTTGGTACTATAGGAAACAATATATTTAATGTATTATTGAGCTTCCAGAAATGAATTCTAGATTTTGAAATGAATTCTGGATTTTAATACAAGCTGAATTAAGAGACATCATGCGACTTTATGGTGATAGGCAAATTTAAAATGAGCTAAATGAATGCTGCTTTTTTCTGCAAGGAGTTGCTTTTTCTGTTTTGAAAAATTTTCCACTTTGTTTTGTATCAAAGTTATTTTTCTAGATAAATATTTCTTGTTTAGGAACAACGCCCGCTTCCCTTAATCCAGCTGCTACTTCTGCATTTACTTTTGGTTCTTCAGGTAATTTTCAGTTTTGAAGTTGTATTTCCTTTATGGATATTTGTTTGTGCGTCTTAATTTTTTTTTTTTTTTTTTCATGTAATGTTTCAATTTTCAGCTCTCACACCAGCATCGAGTGCGCTACAACCATTACAACCAGTAGTGAGGTGATTTTATAAGATTGAATTAGTTTCAATTTCTGCTGTTTTGTGTAGAATGATTCCATAATCTTTACAACACACAAGTACACTTTTGTTGTAATAATAGTATCTTTTCAAATTTTAATTTAATTAAAATTTATGCCAACTGGTGCAGTTCATGAATTAACTAAATATAATATTGCTGTTCTTACACTGTTTCTCACTTGTTCTCTTTAAGAACACAGTTGTCACTTCTAGTTTCACTTAATGAAGTTTACAAAAACTCAGCCATCACTTAAAGCGGAATTCTTTTTCCTTCGCTATAATTAAGTTGATTACCGTAGCTTAAGTCTACAATTCTTGTTTTCAAGTTAAAAAATCATTCGAATTTGCATTTTAAATCAAAAAGTAAATTAATTTTTTGGCGCAAGAATAATTATCAATATTTGTGACAAATATTTGATGACCTTTTTTATTATTACATTAATAGTGCATGTGCAGTCCCCATATCTTGTTGCTAATGGCCTCAGTAATTAACACTTGCTAAAAATGTTCAAATTTCTCATTTTCATATGTAATGGTCATTTATCATTTCATTTCAGCATGACTTCAGCTGCTTCGACACTGCCATTATTTCAAGCTACACCTGCAACTGCTCTTCCTACTGTACCAACAAATGGATTTGCCTTGTAAGTTAAAAGTTTGAACTTTTTCTTTTTTCATTTAAAATATATCTTTCTTGATTTCAATAAGTAAATCATTATTGACAAATTACGTCTTACAGTGGGCAATTAGCAACAACAACAACAACAACAACAACAACAACAACAGCAGCAGCAGCAGCAGCAGCGGTAACAACAACGATGGTAACTACTGCTTCATTACCAATTATAACATCTTTTTTACAATCTACCACAACTACTTCCGCTGTATCTACTACAAATACAGTGACTTCGGCTGGTTCAGCACTCCCATCATTATTATATCCTTCGAGAACAACTGCTTTACCATCAACTGCTTCAATTACAACTACTACTTCAACAATAACTTCAAGTGCTTTAGCTAGTATTGTTCCTGCTGCTCCCACTATCACGTAAGTTATATTTCGTTCGGGTTATAATTGGAATTTTGGTTTCTAAATAATAATAAAATATATAAAAGAAATAGCTGGAAAAGTTAAACAAAATTATCAGTTAGAGATCGGCTTCAGATTAGTTACTGTATTTTATTTTTTAAAAAATAAAAATTTAAAAATGACTTTTCTACAAATTAAATGGTGCTAACAATAATTTGAAGATAGATAGAAGTGAGATTCTGATTAGTACACCTGATCTTCTCAATATAAAACTTGCATGTTTGGCTGTTTTATTTTAATTTTTACGGGACTGTTTTTATTGTTAAGCATATAGGTACCAGTTACATATATATATTCATTAGCTGATTTGCTACAGACCTGATAAACCGATCTCATTTGCACAACTGGAGCAGCTTATAAATCGTTTAGCACTTGATGTCGAAACACAACAGCGTGTTTTTATGTCCCAAGTACTTGAATTGAATGCATTTGATCGAGTTTTGCGAGGAAATCAGCAAAAGGTATAACTTTTTGTTTTTTTTTTTTTGTGTGTGTGTGTATATTTCAGTCTCATTTTCTGCAATACTTAAGGCCAACTTTTGTTTTTTTTTTTTTTTTTTTTTTTTTCTTTTTTTGATTTATTTCTTTAAAATTTGTAATTTTTCTTTATGAATGATGCGATATTTTAATTGTCGATCATGTAACTGTTTGCTTTTTATTGATTCTAATTCTTGATTAACTTCAACATGTAATTGCACCATCACAACATACGCTGAATTTCTTATTTCTTTGAATTTTAGTTCGAAGTCCATTATTTTGTATGGAAGTATGATTGCATAAGAATTATAGGTTCTTGATATAAGCGAAGAGATCAAGCAACTGGAAGAGGAGAAGGATCGATTTTTGCATACTGTGGATTTTATTTCTCAACAGCAAGCTGAACTTGAGGCTTTAGTTGTTGATTTGGAAAAGGCATTGGGTCTTAGTGATTGGACAGAAATGACGCCAATAGGACTACCAGATCCAGGTGTAGCTACTCATGCTGATATGCAACGACAGGCTATGTAAGTTTGTTTTTGACACTGTAACAACTTGACTAGGCTCATTTTGCGGCTTTCACTTTGTAATCATATCTTAATTTCTAGTCGTAAAAGTACTTTCGGAAATTTTTTGTTACCATTATGTTTTGTTTTTTTCGTTAAATGACAACAAAAACTATAAAATAATTGACTGGTTATTATTATTATTATGATATAAGTTTTTATGCTTTCAGTTTTATTGTATTTAGACAAAATGCAAATTAGCCTTAAAATTGCTAATAATTTGTCTAATTTTAGGTTGCAACTACAGCTACGAATTGATGCACAGCTGAAACAAGCAGATGATGACATCACTGACATCATCGAACAGGTGCATTTGCATAACTTTCTGCATTATACTTATAGAATTTCTATATTTTATGTAGGATTTGAAGTATTTACTGGACAAATATAAATTTTTAGGTTAAAGAACTACAGAGAAGTGCTGTGGGTCTCGATGATGAGGCTGAATCGGCGGAACAGATTGCGCAGATTCTTAGACGTCAACTGGATGCTCTGCAATGGATTGATGAACAAAGCTGTTAGTGTTCCTTTTTTTTTTTCTATATGAATATTTGTTCATTGTGATCAAACTTTATTTGCTATTTGATGTAGAATAATATAATTTAAATTATAAAGTTTTAGCTTGTTTTTGATGTTGATTTCATGGTGAGGAGGTCTTATTGCGTAAGAAATTTAGCTGGTGAAGATTTGATAATCAGTGCTTAATTTTGGCATATGTTTTCAGAAATGTGATTAAATTCATTTACATTACAGGTGACTTAAAAAAGAAAGTGGCAAAATTATCGGAAGGATTATCGATGAAATAAATGAAGAAAAATCTAGTCTCTTTTGTACGGATCTTTTTGTTTGCTATAATCTTTTTTGTATCAGTTTTATGAGACGATAAATGCATATGAAGTTTTTCATCTCATGACATATAAAAGAGATTTACTTATTCTTAACGCTACATTTTAGAAGAAGGAATAGTTACAGACTAGAATAGACTTTTCTTTGTTGATCCTATTTGCTTGCATCGTGGTTTTCTCTTTTTTATCAAGCATGCAAATTATAATTTATTCTTGAATGCATCCGTTTTGTTTTTCATATCTTATATGTGTATTATTAAAAAAAAAAAAAAAATTATTGTTATCTCATATTATTGTTATCCCTTTGAGAATCGAAAATGGTTTAGTTAAAATATCCAACTATGAAATGCAAATTTGCCTGCCTTTTTTTTTTTTACTTTGTTACTGCTATCTCGTCCCTTTTATTATTGGTTTTTCTAAGGAAAAATGAGCCGTATATTCTATTCTATTTATTAAACATAATAAAATGCATCTAATTCTGCTTTTTTTTTTCATTCCTTAATAAATTTAGTTCAAAAATATTTCAAAAAAAAAAAAAAAAAATGAAATTTTATTGAAAGAAAAAAAGGAAAAACCAAAAATATGAATCCAACAAAATGCACAGTTGTTCAATTCAATCAAAATTATTTATTTGCATAATTTTAACAAATATATTGACTTATAAATCGGCTTATAAATTATAAATCGGAACTGGATTATACAATATTTCGATACTGCAAAGCAAATTTGATTTGAAACAAAATTTTTAACACATATTAAACATAATGCACATAGCTTTTGTTATTAGATGAAATATATGTTTTTAGAACAAGCAGATAAGCTCAGATAAAATGTAAAAATGAGAAATAATTTTCTTGCTTAAATGATGTATAATTTTCTAGTGTTCAATTGAAATGAATTTTAACTTCAAATTGAACTTCAAATTTTACGAGAAGATTCATTAAATTAGACTGCACAAATTATTTTAATTTTCATAATTCTAATCAAGTGAGATGAGTTTTAGTAAACAAAAGTGAAATATGAGGAGAGAAATGAGACAGTGCCAATTGACATGACATTCCCTAGATAGTTCTGTGCTAATTTCTACTTATCATCAATAGATCTTTCTAGGATGAATTTTTGTTCATTAAATTTGTGATTTTAAATTACGCATATTTTACAACGTTTCGATTTTACACTCACAATAGACTACAAATTACTGATTACAGAGAGAAGTGAAATAAGTGGAATTAATTAACACAAATAAAATGTGACAATTACAAACTCATTAAATAATTAAGCCATGGGATAAGCATACAATCATCTTTTAAATGACTTAAAATAAAATTTGAGATAGTCAAAAAGCAATCAATCACATACTCTTCCTTTCTTAACAACTGCGCATGTGCGCAAATGAAATAGCCTATTAGAGTTTTTAGTGATCAAAGACAGTCTCTGATAGTAGAGATCGGCAAAATGCGCAGCGCGGAATATGACTGCATTGATTGGTTTCACCTTTTCCTTCCCTTACATCTAAGGATTTTAATTTTAAAATTGATAAATGAGTTGCAGCAAGCAGCAAAAATAAACTTATCATTGTTTATCATTTTATTGATAAAATGTCTGTAAACTGATATTTGTCATCTTATTTCTTTGTAATTTATTTTTAAATTAATATGCAAATAAGGGTGAGTTTGTCGCCTATAACCAAATAAATATGCCAGAACGTAACTCATTTATACTTTTATTCTTATGACAATTTGACGATAACTTTTGTAGTAAAATCACTATTTTATTATGCAGTCGATTTTTTTTTTTTTGAACAATTTTGTTGCAATTTTGAGAACTATTGGAGTAAAGTTAAATTGTTCGATGGGCAAATAAATTTATTCAAACAAAGAAATGTTTTACAAGGATTGAACTTATAATTATGATAAATTTTTTGTTTGAAAAAAAAAAAAAGAGGGTAATAGTGACAATATTTCCACGATAACCATTTTTCTTTTCTTTTTATATTAAGAATTTTTAATATTAAGAATATAAATATTACGAATAAAAAGAATTTTACACCAAAAATAGTTTTAATGAGAATGGTATTAAATTAAAGAAAATATATATTACCAATTAGATTTGATGAGAGATGAGATCTTTAATTTCTTTTAAAATTTGTTTTTTTTTTTTTTTTGTGTTCTTCTCAAATCTATTCAACTTATAATTTTCATCGTCTTTATGCTTTCATTGCTGACACATTGTTAAGACATTCTTTTCAATCTTTAAGCATTCTTCCTGCAGGTCTTTCGAAAATTGTCTGAAAAAATGCAAATCAAATTTTCGAAATTCATTGCTAATATATTTAAGCAACGTTTGTTTGTAAACAAGCTAATATATTAATTACCTTCCTTTAATAATTCGTATATTTAACAATTCTTTCTAAGAATTAAAATGCTCAAAAAAGCATTAAAATACATACAAAGTAATGATTAGCTGCTTCATTGCCCTTTAATTCCATAGCTTTCCGGCAATTTTCCTGGGCAGTTTTCCTGACATGTTTTTCTGTCCATACTATAGCAATTGGTAAGGTTAATGCGTATAATGGTGTTAGCTGTAGACCTGAATTTTAATAAAATTTTTTGTACCACCTAGATAAGCATTTTTGAAGTCCCATTTTTAAAACATTAACATTAATGGATAATTTTATAGTATTATTTTTTTTTTGATAAGTTGCACAATTTATACTACAACGATAAATTTTACAAAATCGATAAGACATCATAGTTCAAAGTGCCAACAATAAAATTATAGTTAGCAGTAAGACAAGCTTATAAATTTAAAAGTTCAGTAAGTAAAAACTATTCAAATCATTTCTGAATTCCTTCGTAACATTTAAGTTTTTTTTAATATTCCTTCTATAATTTGTAAATAACTCTATGAATCAAAATTGTCTAATCTCATGTTTATTGTTTAAATTTATTTATTAAAAATTTTCGAAAATTTTCAATGTTATGCTTATTTTGATTTTGGTTTCTATATTGATTATATTTCACATATTTCAAGCGATTTTTTACTGTCCCCGTATTGCTTGAGGCAAATTAGATTGGAATAAATTTCCATTTCACTATTATTAACTGAATTCGTTTATCTGCAATTATCTATTCATATATTTTGTTTGAATCAGAGAAAATTCGAGTTACTATTTTAATTTGAAAAAGGAAACGAACCTTCCAGATAAATAGCATTTCCGACAGAAGATTTCAAACGAAAAGCAAAAAACATAGACACTGCAACCAGGTGAAGACCTCGAAATAGAGAATGAAATGTGAACATGCGTAATAATGTACGAAGAGAATTTATATTTTCTGTGATTTGATAACGATCCGATAAGTTCACGTGAATTTTATTACGATGAAATCTCTGAAAAAATTATACGTTGGATGAAAATTAAAAGTAAAATGCAATGAAGAAAAAAAGAAAACTTTTGTTTATAAGTTTTTTTTTTTTTTAATTTTAACTTTATAAATGTTAAATTCTTCTATCATTAATGCTGGAATCCTTCCATTTCGTTCTTCTAAGATAGAATATGCAATCGAAACGGTAAGGAAATGAGTCACATCAACAATTTGTTCCGATAATACGATGGAAAAATCCGCAAAGTACTTCTGATCTGCTATGACTAAATCAGAAGTACTTGGCAGAACATTCAGGAAGTAGATCAACCGGAACATGCAAAAAACGCTTACGTAACTTAAAGTTAATTTCTTCCAGAACATTTAGATTGAATCAATCCATTTGGTATTTAATCTGTATTTGTAAATGAAAAAGTGAAATAAACCAGAATTGCCTTATTAACGTAAAGTAAAACCGGAATAACTAAAACAGAAATGAAATCGATTAGAGCATGAAGACCGAGGACCATAGAAATTCTTGTAGCTCTCTCAGGCCATGCTTTAGGACAATGGTGTACCCTTTTTGAATAGGGTAATGTAAAATCACCAAACATAAACGCAAAGGTTCCAATTCCAAGAACTACCTGAAAAGTTATATTTACAAAATATTCACAAATATCATTAGAACTACAAACTTCATTTCCAAGTTTTATGCAACTTTAATTGTATTGTTTATTAATATTATTAGGAAGAATTCATATATTTTATTAACGTATACGGAATTAAAATTTAAATTGTGCAGTATTTTCAATTTTTTAATTCAAAAACAAGCTTGAAATTATTAAATTTATTTAAAGTATTAAAGACAAAATAAAATTGTTCATACCTCTATTATAATAAAGATGACAGCCACTTTTTTTCCAAATTTTTCATATTTGGATGAGAAAAATGTAGCAATAATTCTTTCAGCTACTATTGAAGGTATAGAAGCGGAATTTAGGGAAGATGATAAAACGATCGGTGCTCGCATCATGAAACATTCCCAAACAAACAACATATACCCGCACGGGTTATCGACACGTACCCTACGGTATGCCAGTAATACATAGGTATGGGCAAATATTCTGTAATAACTAGAAAAGATTTTTCAAAGTGAGTGAAATTTTTGCTCGTAACTTGAATTGTTTGAAATGATTGTACAGCATTCGCTTATCATCCGAGATGTGATCGGTTGATCAGCAGTCGATCAACTAATCCACTTCTTTGTACATTCCGTTGCTTACTTACAGCTTTAGTTTGATATAATATTCAATTGATTGCTTTTTTCTCTTTTCCACCAGTATTTTGTTACTGTATACCTTTTTATTTACATTTTAATCATTTCTTTGTGCACAATTTTTGAAAGAATTGAATTTAGGAGTGCGACATTACCGCATCGCTATTCGTTTGAGGTTGCAGAAAAGTATTAAAGACAAACTTAAATTCTTCATATATGTACTACAATAAAGAAAGTAATCAAAAAATGAAAATTCTTTTAATAATTAGAGCAAAAATATGAAACCTTGCAGCACAGTGAAGAATGAGCCATAACTGATGTGTGATAATCAAAATTCGAGCATTCTGATGGAGTAAAATACGATTTGTTGTCTTAAATATTACCCAAATTTCAACAATAATTGCTGTCGCTGAAGTGATAATTACAGCAATGAGAATAGCATTGTATACGATACTATTAGCTAATTCACTTGCTTGCTTGCATGATTCCATATTTATAATCAGCCTAAAATTTTTGCAGCTTACTACCTCTAAATTTCAATAATTAGAGTTGAGTTGCCTTTTTGTAGGAAGATATTACATATAAAAAGAAGAAAATTAAAGAATTTGTCGAGATCAAGGCTGAAGTTTGATAATGAGTAAGAACTCACCTTTAATTAACAGCTAATCCTGTTAATTAGAATTATGTTGATATATGTCACATATTCTTTGCAGACAATTGTGTAAAGATGAAAAGAGAATGAAAATGATGCATGAAAAGTTTTTTTTGAATTTTCCAGCAGCGAAAAACTTTTAGCAGCAAAGTCTCATTAAATAGTTCATGGAAAGCTTAATAAAATTAAAAACTAAAATTGTGTGAATATTTCAATGATTTTCATGAGAGAATTATAAAACCATGGTAAATTTATAAATGGCAAATTTCTGTTTTCAATAAAGAAATGTGAGAAATGAGAAAGTGAAATTAATAATATTTTGAGTTAGCACTGGGAACCTTAAAAATGATTTTCTTTTCTTTCTTAATTCATTTTTTTTTTTTTTTTAGTAATGATCACAACCACAATTTCTATCTTTTGATCTGTGTAGTTTAATGATTGAATTTTAGTGTGCAGCAGAAAATAAAATTGCGCCATTTTTTATGTATATCGTTCGGATCACAATGAGAAAATAAAATTATTTTACTGATTGCTTTTTTCTTAGCAAATTACATGAATAAGTGAAATTCCTTCAAATGTAATAAGGAAATTCCAACCTCTGACGAAATAACATTACGGAATATCACGTGTCACATTGTAAGTTTTCATTTAATTTAGGTGTGAATACGAAATTACTGTAAATGGGAGCACGTTAATATTGCTGCATCAATCGAACGAATTTTGAATGGCGTGGAATTTCGAATAATTGAAAATATGAATAATTGAATTTGAAAAAGCAAAATTTGTCGTAGAAGATTTGATAATTTAACTTATTGTTTCGGGAAAGGTTATTGATCGCAGGGAGATTCGTTGGATGTAAATGTAAATATATGGGGTAACAGAGGAATATAATAACTCCTTTATTAACAGAAGCAATAATATAATAACTTGATAGAGAACACTGGAGATTGATTTCAAGGAAAGACTGAAGTTATCGCACTGAAAACAAGGATAGCTCGAAGGTTAGTAAATAATTTCCGCTGATATTTCATTTTGTTTTTAAAAAAAAACTGCATATCAAACTGAGGAACTTGGATTCAGACTAGAATTTTAAGTTCGAATTGGTCAGATTATCATTTTATACGTGTGGTTAAGATCAATCAAAACTAATTGAGTATTTTTTTTTCCAGTAAATTTCACTAGAAAGCATTGTTAAATTATAACAATATTACTTAACAAAATCAAAATAGAAACAGAATCAGATTACCATTGTGATAAGGCATTTCAACAACAAAAGCAGAAAAGCATTTTGATCAATGTTAAAATGATATTAGTTAAAAACAAAATTGCAGTTCTATCAGTAAGAGTAAAAATCGTCATTAATGTGATTTGAGCAACCTAAGCACCTAAATAATAGTTCCGCTGAATCCATACAAAGTGATATGCTCTGTTCGATAGCTTCATCTATTTTATCCAATAAAGTAGTCGCTGAACTGTTCGAATTGATTTTGAAATCGTTTAATGTCTGAAAATCTTTGAACTTGTTCATTCACATACGAAATTTCCTAACAACATATAATTTAAATCAGTTAAATGCATTTAATTGATTTAAAATATGTTCCATTGAGAGAACGATGTTCTCATTATCAGATATAATCCTCTCATATTGCACTGCATTGTATCAGTGTACTATAATTTGAAGTACTAATTGTAAGAAATAACTGTAAAAAGAAAGTAGCCATATCTAATGCATTACCATAATAAAATCATTTAGAACTTTGCATGATTTCATGCAAAGTTCTAAATGAATAGAAGTATTTAAATTCAATACTTTTGGTATCTCTAACTCACTAGTTATAAACTCTAACCCACTAATGATAAACTGAATAATCGATAAAATTGAATGACGAATTGAATTCAGATAAAATTCTGTCGTTTTGGCAATAAAATAAATATAATTTGAGGCGAAATTAAAGTCAATTGTATAATTTGTTTCCATTTAATTCAGACCTGATTGCTGATAATATTTTCAAACAGCAGAAAACAAAGGGATAAGGGAGAAAGAAGGAGAACGAGATGAGAAAAAAGAAAAAGGACAGGAATTTGAAAGGGAAACGGCATGAGAGAAGCGATAAAATCGAAACGTTAATTGATAATTTAATTTAATGCAAAGATTTGAGATTAATCTTTTGTTAACTGATTCCTTCACAATTTTCCACCATTTCACTACATATATGATTTATTATTATAAGTTAATCTATGACTTGAAATTCGTTAATTTATACTTAATCGGTACTGGTTTTACTTATCCAATATGAATTTTACCTATCCTAACATATATTTGGTTTTATAATTAATTTAGTTAATTAAAAATGCTCATAAATTGATTCAATTCATTTCGGTATTCTTCATCTTACTGTTTTTTAACGACCTTTTCTTCATCCTTTCTTTACTTTTCTTCTGCTCAAATCTACTCTTTCCTTTGATTATATCTTCCTTTCTAGGTAATTTCAAAACTTTTCATTTAATGACTTTATTATGTGTCGCGGAACTCGAAATAAGTCTTGTGAACATCCAAATAACTTACAAAATATATCAAATAAAAGTGCATCAATCCACAATATTAAAATTTGTTCTAATTGAACATTCTTTAAAGAAATATAAAACTGTTTTAAATTGCACCTCATGTAAGTAATCACGATTCTAGCATTTATCTTTCCTTTTAGCTAAACTTATCTGCTTGTTTAGTTTGTTTCGAAATTTTTCAATTGTTAACAGTTGGGAAATGTTTTTCAAATGTTTTTTTAAATGTTTAGAAACTTTCAACTGTTAACAAAAGCTATGTGCATTGTTTAATATGTTAAAAACTATTTCTTTGTTCCGAATCAAATTTGCTTGCAATGTTGAAATATTGTAATGGTTTTGTAATCTAATAGTTATTGTTATGAGAAACTGACAATATTAAAACCCATCCCTTACTATATAAAGAGTAAAGGTCATCTGATATCTCTTTGCTCCACGTAATCATGTGTTTATTTCAAATCAATGCCCACTATCTATGGATTTAAATCCCTTGTCTCGGGTTAGTTTTTTGTACCAGCAAGTTATATAGTTCGGCTACTGCTATCTTGCTCACTTAATTCAGTTCACTTAAATTCTTTAAGTTCTAATCAATTTATTCATTTCCTTTATCTCATTCGTAGTTACTCCACGAAATGATTAGTGTACTATTGCTATAGATTAATACCTATATTTTATTGTTGTTAGCAAATAAAATCGTTATAATTTTTTTCTTCCACTCAACGCATTCGTTAATAAACAAAGAAAACTGCTGAGCATACGAAAGTTCAATTCGACTCTAAGCTACAAGAGTTAGAATCCAAGTTTCATAACATTATGTTCAAACCTCATTCCACCAAATTTTTTCATAATCTCATTTTCCACTCTTAATTTTTGCACAGAAGAAAAGAAATAAAGACCAAATCAATCGATATCTGTCTCCTCTCAAAGTAATGCTAACCGACAAGAAAGTGAACATTACCAATAAATTAATGGTATTTACTTCTTAATGCCATATTTTCACCTAATTAAAGTTGAAAATTTCTAAATTTATTGAAAAATTAATAAAACACAAACGATTAATGCACACTATTCAAACGCAACAATACAATACATAATCCCGTGACATTCCTTTTACACATTCTTTTAACTCATTACTATGCAAAACATGAAAATCAAGTTATACTTAAAAACCATATTTGAAACTATTACTAATCCTATGCGACAATGAATAAATTACATTCATTCGAGATGACAATGAATAAATTGCATTGAATAAGGATTAAAAAAATCGTTAAACCATTCATTGTTTAACCAATATGCTAATTTGCTATCTGACACTTTAAAAAGTCTCATTTTACTCGTTCCACACAGTTCATTTTTACTAATATCATCTGTTTGATAAAAAGAATTTCACTATCAGTTAACATTTTCCCCACCTGAAATGGATTCACGGAAATCTCTATAATATTAAATGTTGATTAGACTTTAAACTTACCATTTCATAAAGTCAGCTCATTTACTTTCAAACATGCAACTTTTATTTTAGGTTAAAATAGACAAGCATCAAATTTGTTGGCATACTATCTTCAAGATTGACATAAAAACGAGAATTCCTTTTTATCATACTTTTTTTACATATCAAAACATTTTTTTAATATCAGTTTTCTAGGTTGAGGAAGATTTGTCTTTGCAGATTAATTAAAGTTTGTTTTGGAATATGGTGATGATGATGACAATGTTATGTATCATTTTATGCATAATTGCGCCAATATTCAGTGCTAATGTTTATCGGACTACGAATGACACTGAGATTGTTCCACTTAACATAGTAAGTTTGTGAATTTTTATTTCTTGTGCTCATGATAAAGCTAATTACCAGTGATAACCTAATAGTAATTTGTTGATAAGTCGTTGATGTATCTATTTTGTGATGCTTCGAGGAATATGTGAATATGGAAAAAGATGAAACTAACAGAATGGAATCTGAATGTGATCATTCCGGGTGATGTGTAAAGATGGCACCAGAAGTATTGAATTCAAATACTTCTATTCATTCATTAAGAAAATTGAAATCATACAAAATTCTAAATGGTTTTATTATGGTAATGCATCAGATATAGCTACTTTCTTTTTACACTTATTTCTTACAATTCGTACTTCAAATTATAGTACACTGATACAATGCAGTGCAATATGAGAGGATTATATCTGATAATGAGAACATCGTTCTCTCAATGGAACATATTTTAAATCAATTAAATGCATTTAACTGATTTAAATTATATGTTGTTAGGAAATTTCGTATGTGAATGAACAAGTTCAAAGATTTTCAGACATTAAACGATTTCAAAATCAATTCGAACAGTTCAGCGACTACTTTATTGGATAAAATAGATGAAGCTATCGAACAGAGCATATCACTTTGTATGGATTCAGCGGAACTATTATTTAGGTGCTTAGGTTGCTCAAATCACATTAATGACAATTTTTACTCTTACTGATAGAACTGCAATTTTGTTTTTAACTAATATCATTTTAACATTGATCAAAATGCTTTTCTGCTTTTGTTGTTGAAATGCCTTATCACAATGGTAATCTGATTCTGTTTCTATTTTGATTTTGTTAAGTAATATTGTTATAATTTAACAATGCTTTCTAGTGAAATTTACTGGAAAAAAAAATACTCAATTAGTTTTGATTGATCTTAACCACACGTACAAAATGATAATCTGACCAATTCGAACTTAAAATTCTAGTCTGAATCCAAGTTCCCCAGTTTGATATGCAGTTTTTTTTTAAAAACAAAATGGAATATCAGCGGAAATTATTTACTAACCTTCGAGCTATCCTTGTTTTCAATGCGATTACTTCAGCCTTTCCTTCCCATCTTTTTCAAATTCAAATCCAAGTATTCATATTTTCAATTATTCGAAATTCCACGCCATTCAAAATTCGTTCGAATGATGCAACATTGTCAGCATGCTCCCATTTACAGTAATTTCATATTCACACCTAAATTAAAACGGAACTCAGAATGAATGATTAACATCAGTGCAGTAATTAGTTACTGCGTGATATGTGATATTTCATAATATCAAGCAAGCTAATATTTATAATTTTGCACTATGTTGCGTGTTAATGAAAAAGAAAGCGCTATTACACTTGCACACATTATATACATTTCTGCATCAAGTTATTATTTAAACATTCAATAAGTTTATAACATCAAATAACACAATGTTTACAGCAATGCATTTTCCTATGTATTTTATCCATTTGCATCTAATTTTAGCTTAACACGTAAAAAAGAAAAAAAAAAAGGATAAAAAAGAAAACCAATTGTTACTGCATCATAAAGCAAACGTAAAGCAATCCAAACTATCACGAATATCTTAAATTAAACATGCAAATCATTACGTTGCATGAATAATGATTAATCCTGAAACGAAAGTTATTCTACGGTGTTGGTAACTTGCCATGCTAGTTAAGTATAGTTAGTGAAATTATGGTCCTCGTTAGGTTAAGTAAGTTTCAACATGTCAGCGTGACTGTGACCTTTAACACTAATGGTCGGTAGAATTACTGATTTTGGCGGACGTACGCTGACTTCTAAGTAACAGTTTACATTTTTACAGGTTGATATTAGCATTTGGTAGGATTAAACTGTGAATGTGGAATGTAAATACTACTATAATCATTTTGTGCATAAAATTATATTGTCGAATTAATTTTAGGACGATAAGAAATGATTGTTTTAAGTAATGTAGCTGTGCCAACAGATGGCATTCGATTGATTCAAGGTCAAGTTACTGCATATATTGAAAGTGAATCTGCTGGTGAAGGTGAACTGACCATTGCCGAAAGGTATCGAATTGGTTTGAATTAAATTGTGTTGTTATTAAATATTATATTATTTGAAGAAAATTATTAAAAAATTGTATGGTCCAGTGATTGTTGTGTTACCCCTAGCAGATTAGTTTGCATAAAGGTTTGGAGCAGTTTAGCTTTCGGATGCTTTTTGTGCCAGCTGGAAGGGGTAAATCATGCAATTTTGAAATATTTTCTAGACAGATTTGAGTCAGTTTAATTATTTTTATGTTAATATTAGCCGTATTCGAATCTGGTTGCGAAATAGATGGAATGTTTTAGTTCAGTAACATGGATTTCAAATATAAGTGGACAAGGCTTTAGTCTGACTTATCCGTCAATCATCCTTCATGCTGTTTCACGGGAAAGTGGCAAAATTATCGGAAGGTTTATCGATGAAATAAATGAAGAAAAATCTAGTCTCTTTTGTACGGATCTTTTTGTTTGCTCTAATCTTTTTTGTATCAGTTTTATGAGACGATAAATGCATGTGAAGTTTTTCATCTTATGACATATAAAAGAGATTTACTTATTCTTAACGCTACATTTTAGAAGAAGGAATAGTTACAGACTAGAATAGACTTTTCTTTGTTGATCCTATTTGCTTGCATCGTGGTTTTCTCTTTTTTATCAAGCATGCAAATTATAATTTATTCTTGAATGCATCCGTTTTGTTTTTCATATCTTATATGTGTATTATTAAAAAAAAAAAAAAAATTATTGTTATCTCATATTATTGTTATCCCTTTGAGAATCGAAAATGGTTTAGTTAAAATATCCAACTATGAAATGCAAATTTGCCTGCCTTTTTTTTTTTTACTTTGTTACTGCTATCTCGTCCCTTTTATTATTGGTTTTTCTAAGGAAAAATGAGCCGTATATTCTATTCTATTTATTAAACATAATAAAATGCATGTAATTCTGCTTTTTTTTTCATTCCTTAATAAATTTAGTTCAAAAATATTTCAAAAAAAAAAGAGAAAAAATGGAATTTTATTGAAAGAAAAAAAGGAAAAACCAAAAATATGAATCCAACAAAATGCACAGTTGTTCAATTCAATCAAAATTATTTATTTGCATAATTTTAACAAATATATTGACTTATAAATCGGCTTATAAATTATAAATCGGAACTGGATTATACAATATTTCGATACTGCAAAGCAAATTTGATTTGAAACAAAAGAGTAATTTTTAACACATATTAAACATAATGCACATAGCTTTTGTTATTAGATGAAATATATGTTTTTAGAACAAGCAGATAAGCTCAGATAAAATGTAAAAATGAGAAATAATTTTCTTGCTTAAATGATGTATAATTTTCTAGTGTTCAATTGAAATGAATTTTAACTTCAAATTGAACTTCAAATTTTACGAGAAGATTCATTAAATTAGACTGCACAAATTATTTTAATTTTCATAATTCTAATTCTAATCAAGTGAGATGAGTTTTAGTAAACAAAAGTGAAATATGAGGAGAGAAATGAGACAGTGCCAATTGACATGACATTCCCTAGATAGTTCTGTGCTAATTTCTACTTATCATCAATAGATCTTTCTAGGATGAATTTTTGTTCATTAAATTTGTGATTTTAAATTACGCATATTTTACAACGTTTCGATTTTACACTCACAATAGACTACAAATTACTGATTACAGAGAGAAGTGAAATAAGTGGAATTAATTAACACAAATAAAATGTGACAATTACAAACTCATTAAATAATTAAGCCATGGGATAAGCATACAATCATCTTTTAAATGACTTAAAATAAAATTTGAGATAGTCAAAAAGCAATCAATCACATACTCTTCCTTTCTTAACAACTGCGCATGTGCGCAAATGAAATAGCCTATTAGAGTTTTTAGTGATCAAAGACAGTCTCTGATAGTAGAGATCGGCAAAATGCGCAGCGCGGAATATGACTGCATTGATTGGTTTCACCTTTTCCTTCCCTTACATCTAAGGATTTTAATTTTAAAATTGATAAATGAGTTGCAGCAAGCAGCAAAAATAAACTTATCATTGTTTATCATTTTATTGATAAAATGTCTGTAAACTGATATTTGTCATCTTATTTCTTTGTAATTTATTTTTAAATTAATATGCAAATAAGGGTGAGTTTGTCGCCTATACCCAAATAAATATGCCAGAACGTAACTCATTTATACTTTTATTCTTATGACAATTTGACGATAACTTTTGTAGTAAAATCACTATTTTATTATGCAGTCGATTTTTTTTTTTGAACAATTTTGTTGCAATTTTGAGAACTATTGGAGTAAAGTTAAATTGTTCGATGGGCAAATAAATTTATTCAAACAAAGAAATGTTTTACAAGGATTGAACTTATAATTATGATAAATTTTTTGTTTGAAAAAAAAAAAGAGGGTAATAGTAACAATATTTCCACGACAACCATTTTTCTTTTCTTTTTATATTAAGAATTTTTAATATTAAGAATATAAATATTACGAATATGAAGAATTTTACACCAAAAATAGTTTTAATGAGAATGGTATTAAATTAAAGAAAATATATATTACCAATTAGATTTGATGAGAGATGAGATCTTTAATTTCTTTTAAAATTTGTTTTTTTTTTTTTTTTTGTGTTCTTCTCAAATCTTTTCAACTTATAAATTTCATCGTCTTTATGCTTTCATTGCTGACACATTGTTAAGACATTCTTTTCAATCTTTAAGCATTCTTCCTGCAGGTCTTTCGAAAATTGTCTGAAAAAATGCAAATCAAATTTTCGAAATTCATTGCTAATATATTTAAGCAACGTTTGTTTGTAAACAAGCTAATATATTAATTACCTTCCTTTAATAATTCGTATACTTAACAATTCTTTCTAAGAATTAAAAGAGAAAAAAACATTAAAATACATACAAAGTAATGATTAGCTGCTTCATTGCCCTTTAATTCCATAGCTTTCCGGCAATTTTCCTGGGCAGTTTTCCTGACATGTTTTTCTGTCCATACTATAGCAATTGGTAAGGTTAATGCATATAGCGGAGTTTGCTGAATACCTGAATTTTAGTAAAATTTTCCACATAATTTATCATCTGTAAGAAAATTTCTTTTTTTTTTTTTTAATTTCATAAATAAGTTTACAATAATATTTGCTTAGTAAACTGAATAGTTTATGCTATAATAGATTACTTAAAATATTAATTCAATTATACTTTTAACTATCAGTAATAAAATTATAATCAGTAGTAAAAGAAGTTGTTTGCAGTATAAAAGTTAAAAGATCTGATGAGTGCAATCAAATTAAATAAATAAAATTGTTCGAAAAATAAACAATAAATATTCAAATTATTTTTGTATTCTTTAGCTTTTTCATTTCTACTAAAATTCGTAAATTTTTACAAAAGTCATTTGAAACCAAAAAAAAAAATTTTTCTTCATTTCTTTACAGTTATTCAATTTGATAGAAGAAATAGAGGAAGCCAAGCATCATCGATACAATAGAATTGAATTTATGCTTGAAATGAGCAGTAAATAAATTAAATAAATTTTAATTCACTTAAATTACATGTAGTGAAATTTTACATAAAGTTTTTTTTTTATTCTAAAATTCTATACAATAAGAAATTTGATTTTTTATATAATTTTAATTTTATTTTGAAACATTAATTTTATCCCTCTACTATTAACAGGTATATATATATATAAGAAAAAATTTTAAATTTCGATTAACTGAATGAATATATATATTAGAAATTAATATTATTTCGATTAAATATGTATTAGAAATTAATATTATTCCGATTAAATGAATGAATATATATTAGAAATTAATATTATTTCAATTAACTGAATGAATTTTTATTAGAATTAATATTATTTCGATTAACTGAATGAATTTTTATTAGAAATTAATGTTATTTCGATTAACTGAATGAATTTTTATTAGAAATTAATATTATTTCGATTAACTGAATGAATTTTTATTAGAAATTAATATTATTTTGATTAAATGAATGAATATATAATAGAAATTAATATTATTTCGATTTACTGAATGAATATAAATTAAAAAGTTAATTCATTTATTATACACATTAGCTGATGGTTATATATATTTTTATATTTTTTTTTTCTGTTTAAATTTGAAAAAAAAAAAAAAACTATTAGAAATGGATGATAAACAAACTTTCAAGATAGATAGCAAATTGTTTTGGTGAAAATTTGAAGTTGAATGCAAAATGCATAAATAATGCACCCATAAAAATTGCCAGGAATATCGAGTAAAATGCTACCATTGGTGATAATGTTTGAAGAGAATTGATATTTTCCATAATTTGATAACGATGCGATAAGTTAACATGAATTTTATTTCGATGAAATTTCTGAAAATTTTATTGCATAAAGATATTCAATCAATGCTATCAGTAAATTAATCTTATAATAGATTTTTTATCACTTATAACTTATGATCAAATTTCTTTATACAAATAAAATTAATCCAAATGCGCAAAGAGCAACCAAAACACTTAAATAAATAATTTTAATGTCAATTTCTCAGGAAAAAAACAAAAAAAAAAGAAAATTTTAATTAAATTAACACTTAAATCAATTAATCTGTCATTCATTTAATCTATTACTGAATGTATTTGTAAATGGGAAATTTAAAAAATAAATAAAATTTAGCTTTAGTTTGCCTTATTAATGCAAATTAAAAGTGGAAGTGTTAAAGCAGAAATGAAATCGATGATTGTATAAAAGCCAAAAATGATAGCTGATTTTAGCGCATTTCCTTCATTTGCCGTTGAACAGTAGACTACTTTTTTTGAATCGAACAAATTGAAATTGCTAACAATAAAAAAAAAACATCCAAAGCCAATAGCTAACTGAAATTATAGAGCTTTTTACTTTTTCATATATTATCAGAATGTTGTTTTAAATTATATTTTTTAAATATTTTAAAGATATCATCTGCTATTTGCAGAGAAGTGGCAATTTCTCTGTGACATTTCAAATCTTTGTTTTTCTTTTTTTTTTTGCTTATTCACTGATTTACTGAGTTCTGTTTTTTAATTTATTACTTAGGAATGAATTTAAAAGTAAGATAAGTTCAAAGGATTGAATGCAATCAAACTGTTAGTAAAAAAAATTTGATTGAATTTAGAAACAATCATTTTTATTTATTTATTTATTTTTTAAATATTTTCTAAGAGAATAATAAATTTAAATGTTTCTTTCTACCTGTGCTATGAAAAGTACAATAGCGATAGTTTTTCCAAATTTTTCATATTTTGCAGAGAAATATGTTGCAAGAGCTCGTTCAATTACAACTGTCGGTATTGATGTAGCATTTAGGAGTAATGTTAAAGTAATCGGTGTTCGCATCATGAAACATTCCCATGGGTAAACCATATACCCACATGGATCAGTATATGTCTTCTGATATAACACTAACACATACAAATGGGCAAATATTCTGCAACAAAAAAAGAAAATAAAAAAAAAAAAAAATTTGTCAACAAAATAAGAGTTTGTACAAAAAAAAAAAAAAAAAAAAAAAATTAATTGATAATATGATTAAAACAGTTTTTAAATGATCTTTGTTTTTTTTTCTTTTTTTTTTGCTATATTTTGTAATTTTCAACATATCAGATCATTCCGTATCGATCAATTTTGATCATTTAAAACATATCAGATCATTCCGTATCGGTCAATTTTGATCATTTAAAACATATCAGATCATTCCGTATCGGTCAATTTTGATCATTTAAAACATATCAGATCATTCCGTATCGATCAATTTTGATCATTTAAAACATATCAGATCATTCCGTATCGATCAATTTTGATCATTTAAAACATATCAGATCATTCCGTATCGATCAATTTTGATCATTTAAAAGCTTTTCTGCTTTAACTTTGATACTTGATCACAATGCTAAATGAAATGCAATTGAAAGACATTTTACATTCTTGCCTTCTTTTTATTAAGTTTCATCTTACTGAAAATGCTACAAATCACTGTTGCATGCATCAATTTTATTTTAATAATTTAATCTTGAAATAACTTGGAAAGACTTTTTCAAAATTAATTTGAAAAATTTTTGCTTCCTAAAATTTAATACATCATTCAAATTGTATGTCATTTGTTTGATGATATGAATTTTTATCAAATATTTCCTCTTTTTCGCCACTTTTTTTTTTCTCTCTCACTTATATCTGAATGATTTTTTTTTTTTTTTATTTTATGCTTAATTTTTTCAAATTATATTACAAACTACCTACCTTTGTAGGTAATAAAAAAAGAAAAATGATAAATTTTTAATTTTTTTTTTCACATTTGAAAAAAAAAAAAAAAAAAAAATGTAGAATGAAATAACCTTGCAACACAATGAAGAATAAGCCATAATTGATGTGTGATAATTAAAATTCGAGTATTTCGATGTAATAAAATACGATTTGTTGTCTTAAATATCACCCATATTTCAACAATAATTCCTACTACTGATATGATAATTACAACAATAAGAATTGCACTGAATAAATCACTCTTAGCTAATTCATTTGCTTGCATACATAATTCCATATTTATAATTAAGCCTAAAAACAAAAACAAAAACAAAAAATTGTAGCTTATTATTTCATGAATTTATAATGAAGAAAAATATTTTTGCATACATATTAAAATTTATTTTCAGAAAAAATGAAAAAATGAAAGAGATTGAAAAATCAAAAGAAAAGATAAGTAAGTACTAAAGATTTAATTCATAAACATATTCAAAAAAAAAAAAAAAATTTTCAGAGATTAACAATTGAACATTGTTAATTAGCATTTACTGAGATATATATGTGATATATTATTTTCATGCAATTGCACAAATAAAATAAAATATCGTATAAAATGTGAAAAAAAAAAAGCTTTTTTTTTTTTAAACTATTCATTAGGTAAGTTTTAAAAATATTCATTTAAAATAGCATTTATCACTCATGTGTAACAAAAGTATTTTAATAAAATTGACAAACGATATATAGGATAATGAAGCAAACATACATTTATTTGAAATTATAAATAACCTTATTGAATAAATATTTGCATATGTTTGAATAAATAATAAGCAAATTCTATTTTAGTTCATATTTATTATAATTTATATTTTTGTTATTTATAATTTTGTAGTTTACTAATGTTAGAAAATTTTGCAATAATTAATATTAAAACAATCTTTTTTTTATAGGGATAACAATTATATGTAAGAATAAAATCGACTTAGTTTATAATACAAATAAAAGTTCTCTTTTTTTTTTTTTTTTTTTTTTTTGTTAAAAAATTTTTTTAAAATCAAAGCTGAAGTTTGATAATGAGCATGAAATCATCTTTAATTAATAGCTAAAATGTTGTTAAATTAAAAATTCTGCAGATATTATGTTATACATTTATTTCTTAGACAATTCTCTATGAAAATAAAAAAGTGAATGAAAATTGATGCATGAAAAAAAAAAAAATTTTTTTTTTTTTAAATTAGCAAAATTTTAAATTACTAATTAAATAGTTCATGAAATGCTTAATAAAAATTTGCAGCTAAAATTGTATGAATACATTTAGTGTTTTTTTCATGAGAAAAATTATAAAAACTAATTTATGAATGGCAAAATTTTAGTTTTAATGAAGAAATATGAGAAATGATTAATTTTTTAAAGGAAATAAACAAAAAAAGAAAAAATTTTTGAAGTGATATCAATTCCAATCAACATATTACTGAAAAATTTTTTCTTTCATTCATTTCTCCTTCTTTTTCTTCGTTTGAATAATTAGAAATTCTCAATGATATTAGTGCGAAATTTTTTTATCTATTATTTTAAATAATATTTTTTCACATTTTCAATCTAATTTTTAAAATTTTTTGCTAATAACATTTAGTGAAAATTATATTTTGGATGAAGAATGCAAAGTTTTTTTCAATCTTTTATATATTTCATACAATTAAGATGGCAAAGCTTATTGTCTCTTATAGTAATAATTAAATAAGATAACTATTAAATTATTTTTAATTAGTATTCAAAAAAAAAAATCAAATTTATTGCTATGTTTAAAAATGATGCTGAAAAATTATGATAAATCTTCATATAATTAATTCATTCTAGGAAAATCAATGTTTATAATTAATTTCATTAAAAGTTGTGATTTAAAATTTTTAACTTTTTTTAAACTTTTAAATTTTGAAGAAAATAGGTGAAAGAACAAAAGGTACAAAAAAAAAAATACCAAAAATGATTATTTATTATCTGACAGAATTATTTTTTAATTTATATCATTTTTACTTAAACACTATCTAAAAGTTTAGTTGTAGATCTCATCCAAAAACATTTATAAATAAATAATCAATACTGAATAATGAATTAAATTTGGTGATCAATAATTTTTTTTTTTTTTTTTTGGTGAAATATCATTAATTGACTAAAATGAAATTTCTCAATTTAAAAAAGATGACCTGAAAATGTGTCGTTGACCTTTTTTTTTTTTTAATTATCTTATCAATATATTATTTAGTTGTATGAATGAACAACTAAACAGGTCATTGAAAGGATTCATTTTCATGAATGATTCGTTTCTTTTTTTTTTTTTTTGAAAAAAAAAATTTTTAATATTTCTTATTTTAAATTAAATAATTTCATTTATTAATTATTGTTGAAAATTTTTTTACAGCTTACCAAAGAATGCTAAAAATGAAACATTCAAATGTTTTATTCATTAATGAATCATCAACGAAGTTATCATTGAGCATCAAATTAAGCTATGCATCAGTGATAATTTCACTGATATGCATCACTTCTATGCTTATTGTTTTACCATTTCTTTGCCTCAAATTAGACTATGCATCCAATCAAATTATGGAACGAATGAACAATTTTGGCGTATGTTTTACTTATTAAGTGATAATTGTTAATTATTAAGTGATAACAGTTAATTATCATGTGATAATTGTTATTTATTTAGTGGTAATTGTTAATTACTAAGTGATAATAGTTAATTATTAAGTGACAATTGTTAATTGTTAAGTGATAACAGTTAATTATCATGTGATAATTGCTAGTTATTTAGTGGTAATTGTTAATTACTAAGTGATAATAGTTAATTATTAAGTGACAATTGTTAATTGTTAAGTGATAATTGTTAATTATCAAGTGATAACAGCTAATTACTAAGTGATAACAGTTAATTATCATGCGATAATTGTTGGTTATTAAGTGATAACAGTTAATTATTAAGTGATAAGAGCTAATTATTATGTGATAATTGTTAATTGATAATAGTTAATTATTAAGTGATAATTGTTAATTAACATTAATACCAAACAAAAAAAAAATTGGTTCTATTCTGATTTTTATTTAGCCATATAATTAAATTTAAACTTTATTATCATTTAGGATAAATTTTTTAACATTTTTATCAGCCTTAATTACAGTGCAGCATTATTTATAATAATTCACTATATGATTTATATTGTCTAAAATGAATTCATTAAATAGTTATTAAATACTTTTAATTTAAATTTTTATTTTTCATTATTATATTACTTCATAATATTTCAATTTCTTTAGGTAACATCAAAAAATTTGTGGCATGATATCATTTTGATTAGAAGTAATGGACGGATTAAACGTCAAGGTTTGTTCATTCTTACTTTTATACATTTATCAAAGTCTCTAAAATTAGTTATTATTTTAAATTTGAAAAGATATTTTTTATCATTTATGCAGATTTCATTATTATCATAATTGTTTAATTTCTGTATGAGAGAGAGAGAGAGCTATAGAGAGAGAAAAGCAAATAAATCTGATAATGAAAAAGTTGAATAGACGAGAGTGATTTTATAGGTTATGGCGAAACATCAATAATGAATTCCGATGAAACTGAAGGGCAATGCGGTAGCTGTGTAGAGCTAAGATGTCCACCAGGTACACCAGGTCCATCAGGATTGGATGGAGAAGATGGTACAAATGGTGAACCTGGAAGACCTGGAAAACCTGGATTAGATGGATTAGATATCCCGTTGGAACCGGAACCAAGTTCACCTTGGTATTTATTATGCTCATTTTATCAATTTTATTTATTGTATTGCAAAAATTACAAAAAGTTGTGTATCTAATATGAAAATGAAATTCCAGCGTAATTTGTCCAGCAGGACCACCAGGAAATAGAGGACGACAAGGAGAACCAGGAAGACCCGGAATACCTGGTGAGCCAGGTCATCATGGAATACCTGGAAGACCAGGTAAAGGAGGTAGGGTAGGCGATCCTGGACCACCTGGACCTCCTGGTGAGGAAGGTGAGCCTGGCATTAAGGTACATTTCATTTTGTTATAAAAAATACCACTTTTTTTATAACTAAGTAATATTTTATAGCTGAGTCATAAAAGGCAATTTGATTGATGACTGAAAGGACAAAGATTAAATTTTATTTATTTATTTTTTTTTTTTATCTTAATTAGCTATAAAATACTGCGATTGGATTATAATTAATTCAATGACAATGTTGGAATGAAACCGAATAAAAACACAAATAATAGAAGGACAGGAAGAGATTATTCCTGGCACAATTAAGCAATAAAAAAAGTCACACAGATATAAAAATCGTAAAAAAAAAAAAAAAAATAAAAAAAAAAATGAAGAATAAATAGTACGAAGAAATCAATGCACTGCCGAATAGTATATTTGTAAATGAAAAAAAAAAAAAAAAAAAGAGTAAAATCATTAAGTTATTACCTATACACATATATATTGCCCAGGGTCCACCTGGTGATGATGCAATCGGTGGAACAGGAATCAAAGGTCCACCAGGATCACAAGGACCTCGTGGACCCAAAGGTCCACCAGGACCAAATGGAATTCCATCTAGCAATTTTGGGCCACCAGGACCTCCTGGTGAAATGGTATGCTTAGCTTATTCCATTGTTTTCCTAAGTATTATAATTGCACTAAGAGGCTATTTACTCTATACTTAATTTTAGATTTATGATTAATTTAAATGAAAAACGTATTATCCAAGAGTATTTCGCATCTTTTCTTACATACCCGTTCTGTAATTTAATATTTTCTATGGTTTACTTTGAAGGGACCAACCGGACCACCAGGTAAACGAGGTGAACCAGGACCTAATGGACCAGTTGGACCACCTGGTGAACGTGGTGAACCTGGTGGACACTGCAAATCATCATGTGGAATTCAAGAAGTTGTAGCTCCATCTATTGTTGAATTAGACATTTATGACCCAAAAAAAGACACAAAAGGAAATTGGAAAACGGCTGGAACAAATTATAAACATAAGCAGTAGATCTAATGTCCACAAAATGGTCAAAACGGTCACTCTTACGATATCGTTAAAACAATGTCTTTTAATAATTGGAAAACATCAACAATTGTCGTATATCAAACATTCGTAAATCTTTTTTTTTTTTTTTTTTAAATTTATGAATTGGTAAATTGAAATTTAAAATGATTTGCACTAATAAAATTTGTCCGTCCCATATATTTCACAAATATAATTTATTATCATATCATAAATGATGGTTATCATCTGATAACATAAAGAAAGTATTTGATTACAATCTGAAGGATTGAATGATTAACCAATCAGATTCATTTAGTATTTCGAGATTAGATTTTCAACTTGTAAATTAAAGTTGTGCTTGTAAAACTAAACTATACAGTTAGTGCATTCACCTTAAAAGCCTAAGGTTATGTCACTACTCAAAGTAATTGCAATATGAGAAATTCATTTTATTTAATTTAAAAACATTTTTTTTTTCATTAAAAAGTACAACAACGTCAATCATATACAATAAGTAAAATTTACAAAACAATAATAAACAACGTTTTTGTTTTATTTCTCATCTTCAGAATGCTCTGATTCCACTTCATCATTATCACTTGAAATATCACTTGGCTCATTTGCTATTGAGACAAAAAAAAAAAAAAAAACTGGGCACGAAATAATTCAAGCTTAGAAATATTAAAATTTTTGCTATGATGCATCAATTTCAACATTTCAAGCTTATGCTTATTAACAGAACTCTCACTAACACACATTTATTTATCATGAAATAAAGCGAAACAAAAATTATTTAAAAAATTACCAATTCAACATGATATCTTTATGATATGATATGATGATAAGTTGATAGAAGGACCATCGTATTCAAATGGACAAGTTGATTGAAATGTCAAATAAATTTTGCATATGCTAAATTTAGCGCCATCTTCTTTCAACTTTTCTACTTCAAACGTTGTTACACATTTTTGAAATTACTTTCTATTTCATTCTTCATTTTTTACTTACGCATTTCGTCTGGATAAAACTAATTTATGAGATTCAAAATATGAAATGATCATCAAAAATGATCATAACTGTCAACTAGCAATTAATTAATTAAGCGATGCGATTAAAATTACTGGCAATTCAGCAAAGTATGAAGTGAGAAAAATGAGAAATTCAACAAAATATGAATCTAAAAATTTTGTTTGTAAACAAGCCAATCGCTTCTTCCTTCTCATTTTCCATTTTTCTCATTCCCATAAATTTCTTAAAAATAAGAAAAAAATTATTAAATATAAATTACTTAAATGCAAATTACGATTATTTCATTTAAAATCAAACTACTGCGAAAGAATTCATTATCACCAGCTTATCACTCATTCACTCATTAAGTTTATTTCTGCTTTAAATTTCATCAATTTTTTATCATTATTTTAAAAGTTAATTTATAACTAGAAATTTCTTAATTTATACTTAATCGGTATTGATTTTATCTATTTAATTTTGCCTATTCTAAATATACATTTGGTTTCAGAATTAATTTCATTGATCAAAAATGCTCATAAATTGATTCAATTAATTTCGTTTATTCACCTTACTTTTTTCTGGCAATCTTTTCTTCATCCTTTCTTTATTTTTCTTTTGTTTTAATTTACTCATTCCTTTGATCATACCTTCCTTCCTAGGTAATTTCAAAACTTTTCATTTAACAATTTTATTATGTTTAATCTCATTCATCTTTTCTCACCAAATTTTTTCATTGCACTATCACAAGATTTCATTTTCTACCCTATTTTTTTTTTTTTTTTTTTAAATTTTAACTCAAAAGAAAAGCAATAAACAATGATTAGATTAATCGATTTCTGTCTCCTTTCAGTATAATACTAATTGTTCAAGAAGCGAAAATGAACTGCTTCTTGTATTTATGTTCAATTATTTTAAATTCATTGAAAAATTAATAAAACACAGAAGATTAATGCAATATGCTTGCTACCCAATTGCTATGCTAAATATGAAAATTAAGTTATATTTAAAAATGATATTTGAAAATATTATTAATCCTATGTGACAGTCAATGAGTTACATCCATTCGTGTGCGACAATGAATAAATTGCATTGAATAAAGATTAAAAAATTCGTTAATCCATTCCTTGTTTAACCAATATGCTAATTTGCTGTCTGACCCTTTAAAAAGCCCCATTTTATTCTGCTTCATACAGTTCATTTTTACTAATATCACCTGTTTGATCAAACAAGTTTCATTATCAGTTAATATTTTCCTCACCTGAAATGGATTCAGGGAAATCTATATAATGTTAAATGTCTGATTAGACTTTAAACTTACGATTTTATAAAGTCAGCTCATTTATTTTCAAACATGCAACTTTTATTTTAGGTTAAAAAAGGCAAGCATCAAATTTGTTGGCATCCTATCTTCAAGATTGACATAAAAACGAGAATTTCTTTTTATCATACTTTTTTACATATCAAAACATTTTTTTAATATAGTTTTCTAGGTTGAGGAAGATTTGTCTTTGCAGATTAATTGAAGTTTATTTTAGGATATGATGATGATAACAATGTTATGTATCATTTTATGCATAATTGCGCCAATATTTAACGCTAATGTTTATCGGACTACGAATGACACTGAGATTGTTCCGCTTAACATAGTAAGTTTGTGAATGTTATTTCTTGTGCTCTTGATAAAGCTAATTATCATTGATAACCTAGCAGTAATTTATTGATAAGTTGTTGATGTATCTATTTTGTGATGCTTGGAGGAATAAGTGAATATGGAAAAAGATGAAACTAACAGAATGAAATCTGAATGTTCACACCGGGTGATGTGTAAAGATTGCACCAAAAGATTGAATTTAAATACTTCTATTCATTCATTAAGAAAATTGAAATCGTGTAAAATTATAAAATTATAAAATTAAAAATAGTGTAAAAATTATAAAATTATAAAATTAAAAATTAAAAATCGTATAAAATTAAAAAATCGTGTAAAATTGTAAAATTATAAATAATTTTATTGTGGTAGTGCATCAGATATGGTTACTTTCTTTTTAAACTTATTCCTTAGAATTAATACTTCAAATTATAGCAGAATAAGAGACAATTAAACGGATTTAACTGATTTGAAATATATGTTTCTAAGAAACTATATGTGATTGAACAAGTTCAGAGATTTTCAGACATCAGATGATTTCAAAATCAATTCGAGCACTTCAGCTCCTACTTTATTGGAAAAAATAAATGATGTTATCGAACAAAGTATTTTTCTTTGTATGAATTCAACGGAACTATTTCTTAGATGTTGCAGTTGTTCAAATATCGATGATATTGATGATAGTGATGATAGCAGTGACAAATTTTACTTTTACCCATAGTGCTACAATTTTTGTTTTTTAACTAATATACTTTTCTATTTTTCTTATTGAAATGTCTTATCATCTTTTGTAATGTAATGATAATTTGATTCTATTTCTATTTTGATATTATTAAATAATATATGCTATAACAAGAATTTCTGGTGAAAGTTTTCAAAAATTTTTGCAATTTAGTGAAAAAAAAAAAAATACTCAATTAGTTTTGATTGATTTTAACCACACATGTAAAATGACAATCTGAATAATATTGAATTTAAAATTCTAATTTGAATTCAAGTTCCTCAGTTTGATATGCAGTTTTTTTTTTTTTTTTTTTTTTTTTTTTTAACAAAACAAAATGAAATGTCAGCGAAAATTATCTATCAAATTTTGAGCTATTTTTGTTCTCAACGCGATAACTTCCATTTTTCCCTCCAATCAATTTCAAGGTTCTCTATCAAGTTACTGTACTATTGCTTCTGTTAATAAAGGAATTATTATATTCCTCTGTTACCCCACATATTTACATTTACATCCAACGAATCTCCCTGCGACCAAAATCTCCCAAAATAATAAATCAAATTCGAATCCAAGTATTCAGATTTTCAATTATTCGAAATTCCACGCCATTCAAAATTCGTTCGAATGATGAAGCATTATTAACATGCTCCCATTTATAGTAATTTCGTATTCACACCTAAATTAAATGAAAACTTACAATGTGACACGTGATATTCCGTAATGTTATTTCGTCAGAGGTTGGAATTTGCTTATTGCATTTGAAGGAATTTCACTTATTCATGTAATTTGCTAAGAAAAAAGCAATCAGTAAAATAATTTTATTTTCTCATTGTGATCCGAACGATATACATAAAAAATGGCGCAATTTTATTTCCTGCTGCACACTAAAATTCAATCATTAAACTACACAGATCAAAAGATAGAAATTATGGTTGTGATCGTTACTAAAAAAAAAAATGAATTAAGAAATAAAAGAAAATCATTTTTAAGGTTCCCAGTGCTAACTCAAAATATTATTAATTTTACTTTCTCATTTCACACATTTTTTTATTGAAAACAAAATTCTGCCATTCATAAATTGACCATAGTTTTATAATTCTCTCATGAAAAAACATTAAAATATTCATACAATTTTAACTTAATTTCATCAAGTTTTCCAATGAACTATTTAAATGAGACTTTGCTGCTAAAAGTTTTTTGCTGCTGGAAAATTCAAAAAAAAAAGCTTTTCATGCATCATTTTCATTCTCTTTTCATCTTCACACAACTGTCTGAAAAAAATGTGTGACACATATCAACAGAAGTTTAATTAACAGGATTAGCTGTTAATTAAAGGTGAGTTCTTGCTCATTATCAAACTTCAGCCTTGATCTCGACAAATTCTTTAATTTTCTTCTTTTTATATGTAATATCTTCCTACAAAAAGACATCTCAACTCTAATTATTGAAATTTAGAGGTAGTAAGCTGCAAAAATTTTAGGCTGATTATAAATATGGAATCATGCAAGCAAGCAAGTGAATTAGCTAATAATATCGTATACAATGCTATTCTCATTGCTGCAATTATCACTTCAGCGACAGCAATTATTGTTGAAATTTGGGTAATATTTAAAACATCAAATCGTATTTTACTCCATCAAAATGCTCGAATTTTGATTATCACACATCAGTTATGGCTCATTCTTCACTGTGCTGCAAGGTTACATATTTTTGCTCTAATTATTAAAAGAATTTTCATTTTCTGATTACTTTCCTTATTGTAGTACATATGTGAAGAATTTAAGTTTGTCTTTAATACTTTTCTACAACCTCAAACGAATAGCGAGGCGGTGTCGCACTCCTAAATTCAATTCTTTCAAAAATTGTGCACAAAGAAATGATTAAAATGTAAATAAAAAGGTATACAGTAACAAAATACTGGTGGAAAAGAGAAAAAAGCAATCAATTGAATATTATATCAAACTAAAGCTGTAAGTAAGCAACGAAATGTGCAAAGAAATGGATTAGTTGATCGATTGCTGTTCAACCGATCACATCTCGGATGATAAACGAATGCTGTACAATCATTTCAAACAATTCAAGTTACGAGCAAAAATTTCACTCATTTTGAAAAATCTTTTCTAGTTATTACAGAATATTTGCCCATACCTATGTATTACTGGCATACCGTAGGGTACGTGTCGATAACCCGTGCGGGTATATGTTGTTTGTTTGGGAATGTTTCATGATGCGAACACCGATCGTTTTATCATCTTCCCTAAATTCCGCTTCTATACTTTCAATAGTAGCTGAAAGAATTATTGCTACATTTTTCTCATCCAAATATGAAAAATTTGGAAAAAAAGTGGCTGTCATCCTTATTCTAATACAGGCACGAACAATTTTAATTTGTCTTTAACACTTAAATAAGTTTAGTAATTTCAAACTCGTTTTTAAATTAATAAATTGAAAATACTGCACAATTTAGATTTTAATTCCGTATATGTTAATAAAATATATAAATTCTTTCTAATAATATTGATGAATAATACAGTTAAAGTTGCATAAAACCTGGAAATGACGTTTGTAGTTCTAATGATATTCGTGAATATTTTGTAAATATAACTTTTCAGATAGTTATTGGAATTGGTACCTTTGCGTTTATGTTTGGTGATTTTACATTACCCTATTCAAAAAGGGTACACCATTGTCCTAAAGCATGGCCTGAGAGAGTTACAAGAATTTCTATGGTCCTCGGTCTTCATGCTCTAATCGATTTCATTTCTGTTTTAGTTATTCCGATTTTACTTCACGTTAATAAGGCAATTCTGATTTATTTCACTTTTTCATTTACAAATACAGATTAAATACCAAATGGATTGATTCATTCTAAATGTTCTGGAAGAAATTAACTCTAAGTTACGTAAGCGTTTTTTGCATGTTCCGGTTGATCTACTTCCTGAATGTTCTGCCAAGTACTTCTGATTTAGTCATAGCAGATCAGAAGTACTTTGCGGATTTTTCCATCGTATTATCGGAACAAATTGTTGATGTGACTCATTTCCTTACCGTTTCGATTGCATATTCTATCTTAGAAGAACGAAATGGAAGGATTCCAGCATTAATGATAGAAGAATTTAACATTTATAAAGTTAAAATTTAAAAAAAAAAAAAAAAACTCATAAACAAAAGTTTTCTTTTTTTCTTCATTGCATTTTACTTTTAATTTTCATCCAACGTATAATTTTTTCAGAGATTTCATCGTAATAAAATTCACGTGAACTTATCGGATCGTTATCAAATCACAGAAAATATAAATTCTCTTCGTACATTATTACGCATGTTCACATTTCATTCTCTATTTCGAGGTCTTCACCTGGTTGCAGTGTCTATGTTTTTTGCTTTTCGTTTGAAATCTTCTGTCGGAAATGCTATTTATCTGGAAGGTTCGTTTCCTTTTTCAAATTAAAATAGTAACTCGAATTTTCTCTGATTCAAACAAAATATATGAATAGATAATTGCAGATAAACGAATTCAGTTAATAATAGTGAAATGAAAATTTATTCCAATCTAATTTGTCTCAAGCAATACGGCGACAATAAAAAATCGCTTGAAATATGTGAAATATAGCCAATATAGAAACCAAAATCAAAATAAGCATAACATTGAAATTATTTCGAAAAATTTTAAAAAATAAATAGAAACAATAAACATGAGATTAGACAGTTTTGATTCATAGAGTTATTTACAAATTATAGAAGGAATATTAAAAAAAACTTAAATGTTACGAAGGAATTCAGAAATGATTTGAATAGTTTTTACTTACTGAACTTTTAAATTTATAAACTTGTCTTACTGCTAACTATAATTTTATTGTTGGCACTTTGAACTATGATGTCTTATCGATTTTGTAAAATTTATCGTTGTAGTATAAATTGTGCAACTTATCAAAAAAAAAAATAATACTATAAAATTATCCATTAATGTTAATGTTTTAAAAATGTGACTTCAAAAATGCTTATCTAGGTGGTACAAAAAATTTTATTAAAATTCAGGTCTACAGCTAACACCATTATACGCATTAACCTTACCAATTGCTATAGTATGGACAGAAAAACATGTCAGGAAAACTGCCCAGGAAAATTGCCGGAAAGCTATAGAATTAAAGGGCAATGAAGCAGCTAATCATTACTTTGTATGTATTTTAATGCTTTTTTGTCTCTTAATTCTTAGAAAGAATTGTTAAGTATACGAATTATTAAAGGAAGGTAATTAATATATTAGCTTGTTTACAAACAAACGTTGCTTAAATATATTAGCAATGAATTTCGAAAATTTGATTTGCACTTTTTCAGACAATTTTTGCAGCACCAACAAGAAGAAATGCTTAAAAATTGGAATTATTACTTGCACAATATTAGTAATATCTCAACAGTTGAATGCATTTGAAAAGAGAAAAATGAAAATTACATGTAAATGGATTTTAAAAAAGTTGAAAATTGTCATCTCTCATTAAATAATTTCGATTGCTGGCACATATTTACTGTAGTTGGAAATATTTGCACTGGAAAAATTTTTTTAATGAATTAATAAATTTTATTGTAGCTAATATTTTAAAGAACAAAAATGAATATTGTCAATTTCATTTTTTTTTTTTTTTCAAATTAAAACTATGAAAATTAACTTGCATTAAAGCTAACCATTATTTTATATGTATTTTGGTATTTGCATTTATTGTCATTTAATTTTTCAAAACTATGTTAGAAATAATTGTCAAATATAAAGGTATGGAATTTCTCGAGAATTTCAGTTCGCTTCTTTCAAACAACAAAAATGAGCATTTCAGTTCAAAATAAATCAAAAATTCATTTATCCATCAAACAATTTTAATTCATTTTAACAATTATTTCTAACATAATTTCTAAAAATTAAAAAAGCTAAAATATCTTTTGCATTCTTATGCTTTATTTATTTGAAGAATCAATTACTAATTAAACTTTTTTTTTTTACTTCTTGAAATAACTATTGAATAATAAAAAAAATATAATTTCTTTGCAAAAATTATAATCAATTAGCATAGAAATATTAAAAGTTTAAACCATTTAATGAGACTAATTAAAAGTTTGTTGCTGAAAAATTCAAAAAAAAAAAAAGAAAAAACTCTTCATGCATCATTTTCATTTCCTTTTCATCGTCATACAGTTACCTGGAAACAATGTGTGATATATATCAACTGTTAATTAATTAAAGGTGAGTTCTTGCTCATTATCAAACTTCAGCCTTAATCTCGACAAATTTTTCCTTCTATTGAATTAAACGTTTAATTTTCTTCCTTTTTATATATAATATCTTCCTACAAAAAAGCATCTCAGCTCTAATTATTGAAATTTAGAAGTAATAAGCTGTAAAATTTTTAGACTGATTATAAATATGGAATCATGCAAGCAAGCAAGTGAATTAGCTAATAATATCGTATACAATGCTATTCTCATTGCTGCAATTATCACTTCAGCGACAGCAATTATTGTTGAAATTTGGGTAATATTTAAAACATCAAATCGTATTTTACTCCATCAAAATGCTCGAATTTTGATTATCACACATCAGTTATGGCTCATTCTTCACTGTGTTGCAAGGTTACATATTTTTGCTCTAATTATTAAAAGAATTTTCATTTTCTGATTACTTTCCTTATTGTAGTACATATGTGAAGAATTTAAGTTTGTCTTTAATACTTTTCTGCAACTGCAAACGAATAGCGAGGCGGTAATGTCGCACTCCTAAATTCAATTCTTTCAAAAATTGTGCACAAAGAAATGATTAAAATGTAAATAAAAAGGTATACAGTAACAAAATACTGGTAGAAAAGAGAAAAAAGCAATCAATTGAATATTATATCAAACTAAAGCCGTAAGTAAGCAACGGAATGTGCAAAGAAATGGATTAGTTGATCGATTGCTGATCAACCGATCACATCTCGGATGATAAGCGAATGCTGTATAATCATTTCAAACAATTCAAGTTACGAGCAAAAATTTCACTCATTTTGAAAAATTTTTTCTAGTTATTACAGAATATTTGCTAATACCTATGTATTACTGGCATACCGTAGGGTACGTGTCGATAACCCGTGCGGGTATATGTTGTTTGTTTGGGAATGTTTCATGATGCGAGCACCGATCGTTTTATCATCTTCCCTAAATTCCGCTTCTATACCTTCAATAGTAGCTGAACGAATTACCGCTACATTTTTCCCATCCAAAATTAAAAAATTTGGAAAAAAAATATATTATCATAAATAAAGTACGAACAATTTTAATTTTTTAATTAATTATTTAATAAACAAATTTGTTCATATTTGGATGAGAAAAATGTATATAACGGCGGTAATTTGTTCAGTTTTTTAAACATCTTTTTGCAACCGTCAACGATTTGTGCTAGCTTATGGATGTAAAATTTTATTCAATTTTTTAAAATTCTTCCGCCGATCATATAGCTTAAATTTTTATCTTAGAAAATTAACAAATTAAACAATTTTTAAAATAAAATTTTGAGAATTTTTTTTTTTTTTTGCATTTTATGAGAGAGGGAAGTGAAACTTAATTAATGAATTCAAGATAAAAGTTATATATTTATATATTTAAACTTAATTAATTCAAAACAAAAGTATTTTATTGAAAACAAAAAATCATTCACATGTATATTATATATTTATTTTTTAATTTAGTGCTGAATATTGGAAATGAATAAATTTTGTTCCTACAAAATTTTTTAGACTTCTACAAATTATTTCAGTATAAGAATTTAATTTCATATGTATAAGTTGAAAAAAAAATTCGTATAATTAATTTAACTCCTGCATTTGACTTTCTTTTTGTCTGTGTTTGTCAAATATTGTTAAATTAAATTCTTTATGTCAAATAAATTTTTTGAATTTTCAGCTCGACAATTTTGAATGCATCAAATTAAATGGCATAATGACAAGAAGTTATCAATTTACTGATAACATCATATATCAACTAGAATCAATATTATCACTGTATCAAATACTTCTCAATCATTGATAATATCATTCTTGATCATTATCATTTCTAATAATTGTTTCAATCTTGCAATTTACTATACTCTACGGAATTAATGTTTACTTTTTAATGTTTTTTTCTTTTTTTTTTCCTTTTTCAAATTTTTTCTTTTTTTATCAAATTTATCATTTTTTACCATTTTTTATCAGGAAAAATTTTTGCCTTTTCATAAAATGATAGAATCATAAGTAATTTGCATTTGCAATTTTTTAAAAAATTTATAAATATATTTTTTTCTTCATACTTTTGCTTTGTTATTTTTTTTTTTATTTTCTGTTTTTTAACTATTTTGCATGCGCTTTTTTTTTTTTTTTTTAAATTTATTTATAAAAAATTTTTTGCTTATTTTTGCATGATTTTAATGCCTTACTTAGTATTTTGCATGGTTTTTTTTTTTTGATTCTTTATTTTGATATTAATTAATTTGCATGAATTGAATTAAAAAGTTATTTTGCAATTTTTGCACGCTTTTTCTTGCATTCTTGCATATTGTTTGCATCATTTTTACATTATTTAATGAATGGAAATTAATTATTCAAAAGCAACAAAAAAAAAAAAAAATTATTTTTTATTTGAAAAGATATTTTTTTATTAAATTTACTGTTTTTTTAAAAAAAATTTTTTAAATTTACTGTTTATCAATATTAATTAAATGATTGTAGGGTAAAACAATTAACCTGTCAACTGTCACTTATCCTATGATTTATTTTTAAATTAATAAATAAATAAAACAAAGTTATGATGACCATTGATAAAGATACTAAACTATGATTACTTTTATTTATATTCCAATTGAAGATAATATTTGCAAATGAAATTATTCATTTTTTTTTATCATTTAATTTCTATTTTACTTTTTTTTTTAAAAATAGTTATTTGAAAAAGTAAAAAAAAAAATTTTTTTTCAAAAAAAAAGTGTTATAAATAATTTATTTCTCAAATAAATGAAGCATAAAAATATAAAAGATATTTTAACAATTTTGATTTCGTTTTGCACTTGTTCAAAATAAATTAAAATTAAAGTTGTTTGAATGAATAAATAAATTTATTCAAATAGTTTTTTGCAACAATCTGAACTAAAATTTTTGAGAAATATTTGAATTGAATAAAAAAAAAAAAAAAAAAAGCTACTATTTTCTAAGCATTCATTCTTGTTATTCAAAATATTAGTTACTGATAAAATTTATATATCAAAAACAAAAGTTGAAATAGGAATTATTTATCAAAATAGAAATAGAAATAATATTATATTTATATATCAAAAAAAAGTTGAAATAGGAATTATATATCAAAATAGAAATTATATATATATATATCAAAAAAAAAGTTTGAAATAGGAATTAGATATCAAAATAGAAATAGAAATTATATTATATTTATATATCAAAAAAAGTTTGAAATAGGAATTATATATCAAATAGAAATAGAATTATATATATATAATATATATATATATATATATATATATATATATCAAAAAAAAGTTTGAAATAGGAATTATATATCAAAATAGAAATAGAAATTATATAATATATTTATATTTCAAAAAAAAAGTTTGGAATAGGAATTATATATCAAAATTGAAATAGAAATTATATATATATATATATATTTATATATCAAAAAAAAGTTTGAAATGGGAATTATATATCAAATAGAAATTATATATATATATTTATATATCAAAAAAAAGTTTGAAATAGGAATTATATATCAAAATTGAAATAGAAATTATATATATATATACATATATATATATTTATATATCAAAAAAAAGTTTGAAATAGGAATTATATATCAAAATAGAAATAGAAATTATATATATATAAATATATATATATATATATATATATATTTACATATCAAAAAAAAAAGTTTGAAATAGGAATAATTTTAATTTATGATAGATGTTTGATATCAATTGGTTATAGCTATCAATTTGTTTTCAGGACCAGATGACAATTTGATAACGAATGGTTTTCAAATCGATTCAATTTAAAATTTCCTTCTATTTCTCTTTTTCAATTCATTTATTTTTCAACTGTTGTTTACGGCATTATTAATTATTTAACTATTATTATTATTGTTTAACTGATTCAAATATCCCATTTTTTTAGATATTTCAAAAATTTTTTAAAAAATTCAAATCAAACTTTCAAAGAAGTAAACAAAACTTACTTCTATTTAATATATTGTCTATGGTAAAAATTTTTTGAAAAACTTTAATTCAAATTATTAAAATATGTCAGAAATTTTGATTTGCAAAAGCACAAAATGTATTGATTTTTTTATTTATTTGTTTACATGTTTATTTTAATTAATATTTCGTTTTATTTTTGTTATATAAAAATGTTGTAATGATGTGTTACACAATTTAATTATTGTCGTGAAACCTCAAACTTGGGTAATTAAAACCTTTATTTAACATGAAGCAAATAATAGCGCTTTATACATATCGTACGGATGCTACACCGATTAACAAACGCGTAACGAAAGATATAATTATAAAACATTAAAATGATATCAAAACCACCCCAAAATGCAGAATGAACCACCGTATGGAGGACGATGGTTTATATGCAGAACTGAGCTGACCTGATATCCGGCAGAGGATATTTAACTGATGTGAAACAAAGACTGCTAATAAAGGGTTTTGCTAACAAAGGGTTGCTAACAAAGGGTTTTTGTTGTGTGAGGAAAAGGAATCAGATAAGAGGAATTTGTTAGTTTTGGATATAATAATTTAAATATTTCGTCTTTCACGACAATTATTAAAGTTTTCCTTTTTTTTTTTTCTTAATTAAATTTTGATTTAAAATTGTTAGGATGTGACTGAATGAAATAAATGTAAATTTTTTTGTTTGTTTTTTTTTTTTTTTTTTTATTTTTAAATAAGTATTAAAATTATTAAAAAATTTGATAAGCAAAAATAATTGTTGAAAATTGTTAAAATAATTTTAATTTTATTGATGTCTTCTTGTGTTACTTATGCAATTACTTTTACATATTTAAAATTTGCATAATATTTAATTACAATGTTCGATTTCTTTACAAACTACTGATTAACAGATAATGATAACAAATTGAATATTTGAGTGATAATATTAATGATAACAGATTGAATATTTAAGTGATAATATTAATGATATCAGATTGAATATTTAAGTGATAATAATAATGATATCAGATTGAATATTTAAGTGATGATAATAAATTGAATATTTACACAACAAATTAAATATTTCAGTGATTGTAATAAATTCAAGATTAAAATAAAAATAAAAATCAAAATATTTAATTTTGTTTTTTTAGATAAAAAAATGTAACAATAAGAAAAATAATCAGATTAAAAAATAAATAATTGAATTGGGTGATAAAAAGAAAAAAGAAAAGAAAAAATTAATTTATGAAATGAGAAAAAATAAAGAAATTCTTTTTTTTTTTCTAAATTACATTTTGATTTAAAATTGTTAGGATTTTAATATTTCCAAATTATAAGTCACATAAATTAATTTCTGAAATTATTTCATTTATATTTCGAAATATAAATTTTGTCATTTATTATTCGAAAAAAAAAAAAAAACAATATTGCTTGTTAAATTGTTGAGTAAATTTTGCTTGTCAAATAAGCTAATTAATGAAGCATTCAAACAACAAATGAATGTTGCAAAATGAATTAAGGAAATGAAAATTAAAAAAAAAAAAAAAGAAAAAACTGTTGCATTTAAACGTTTCCTCTTTCTTTTTTTTTTTTTTTTTCAAATTAAAATTGAATAATTGAAATTTTCGTCATTGCTATTTCAATTAAGTTTGGAAAAGTTGGAATAAGAAAAAGCTAACAAAGAATGAACTAAAAAAAGGTTTTGAATCAAATTGTCTTTTTATTTTGAAATGTATTTCAAAAATTAACTTTTTTAATTTTTACTTTTTTTTTTTTACTTTAAAAAAAGTTTTCGAATCAAATTGTCTTTTTATTTTGAAATGTATTTCAAAAATTGACTTTGAACTAAGAAAAAAGTTTTTGAATCAAATTATCTTTTTATTTTGAAATGTATTTCAAAAATTAACTTTTTTAATTTTTACTTTTTTTTTTCTTTTAAATTTTATCAACAATACTAGAAAAAAATTTTTTTTTTTTCTCCAAAATGGACAAAAACAAATTTCAATTTCAAGATTCATATAATCAAATAAATAATATATTAACTTAAAAATGTAATGTAATGAAGCAAATAAAAAAATGCATCATTTAAATTTAAAGCTCTTCTAAGATTTTCGGAAAATTAAATTTCTCTTTCTTTCTTTTTTTATTTTGCTTTTCACTAACATTTTCATAGCGCTTAAAATTGAATGCTAAAAAAAAAAATTTTACACTTTCCAGCAGGTATTTTAAAATGAGAATAAAATAACTTTTTCACTGCTAAAAAAAAAAAAAAAAAAAAAAAAAACGAAATGAAATGAAATCGTCAACATCCTTTCTTTTCGTTTCATTTTTAAATAAATGATTCATATGAAGAAATAAATTTTATTGCTAAAGTTTGATAATACTTTAAAAAAAAAAAAAAAAAAAATTAAATAATTACCATTAATATTTCATCAAACTAAATAATTTGAAAAAAAAAAAATTTTTAAATTAATTTTAAAATGATCAAACGAAAACTTTTTTTTTTCTCTTTCTCTCTCTCTCTCTCTCTCTTGCTCAACCTTTCATTCTTCTTTCTCATTCATTTAGTTTTTTTGCTTGAATAAATTTTAAATGCATTAAAATTTAGAATTAATCATTTAACTTTTTTTTTTCCTTTTTCAAAAAAAAAAAAATTCAAAAATTAATTTAAGTTTAATGAAAGAAAAGAAGGAATAGAAATTTGTGAAAGAATGAAATTTTGATAA